ATACAAGCATCATGAAATTCAGGGACTAAAGTACAGAAAAGTAGGAGAAGGAAATCAGGAAAATCTGAAATCAAGAAAATCTTGATAATTAAATAATTAATAATAAAAATTCGAATTATCAACCCCCCTCCAAAAAAAAAAAAAAAAATATATACAAATTAAAACGTCCCGTTGGAGAATATCCACTTTCGATCTCACGCTTCCTCCGCTTTCCAATAAAAGAAACAAACGTAAGCCGACCATTCGCGTGACTCAGCCAGTCCCTCGCAAAATCCAATCAACCAGGGAACTTTTCAGACTTCTCTTAGCGCGGTGCCCAGGCCATAAACACATTTTGTTTATCCCTACACATCTTGGGCCCTTACGTAAGTCGCTTAATTGAACATAAGTTGTGCATTGCATAAGTTGTGGAAGGTTGAGTGTCACGGCCATCATCGTCATCGTCATCGGTTCCCTTCCACCGTATACCTGCTGACACACATGTGAAAGTCGATACGCGTTTTCGAGGGCTGCTTGAAAAGGTGTACCCCCTTCCCTTTTATCCGGCTACACTTCTGGCGAAATAACGAAGCTCGCCAGGGTACACACGCCATTTATCCTCTAGTGTCTCTTAACCCATTTCAGGGTCGAACTAATTTGGATTCCTCGATATTACGTGCCCTCGCTATTCTCACGTTCCGACGATGTTACATAGAAAACGAACACTCTTTTATTAATATTCTCTCTTGTTAACGAAAAATTAAGTACACTAGGGAATTTTTTTTTTCGCTATCTTGGGATATTTTTTTACAATTGAAACTCTGATGGGAAGAGGGAAGGAAGAACGTGTAAATTTCAGATCAGATTAATTAACTGTGTGTTGTAAAGGATTAATGAAGAACCAAGACCAGATTTAATAAAAAAGTAAATAGATAGAAAACTGAAATTAAGGCTCGCATAGGGGAGAAAAGGAATAATGTACATATCGTCAGCTATTATGAAACTATCTTAAAAGCCATCTTAAAATATTAAAATATTAAGTAGATATTTAAAATTAAAATTGAAATTAGACCTCGAGTAAGAAGGGAAGAGAGCAATGTGCATATTCTCAATTACCGGAATGTCCCGTTAATTATAATCGGTAGATCACTTGCGAAAGAGCAGTACGTGAGAATATTTAAATATTTCGTGTTTAAAATATTCAGAAAAGCGAAGGGAAATTTAATTATCAGGATCTTCTTCCCGAAGGAGATTTTATCCGAGAAATTCCTCGGAGCAATTCCTCCCTACCCGATCCGGGAGATTGTTCGATGAGGAAGGATCAGATGGTACGCAGAGAATCGATCGAGGAGCAGAAGGTTGCACACCACTGTCGGGGCCGGTGTGCACGTGCTGCCGGGCCCCTCGTCCCCCGACTGTCACTGATTTCCGATCCTGGAGGACGAAGAATGCTCGTGGCTGCCAGCTGCTCGCGATCCTCGATCAACTCAGTCCACCCTGCGATCGTCAGACTATCGCGATCCTTCCTCCAGTTCGCGTCAAATCCGACCAGTCTCTCCTTCGTCCAGCCTACGATCCTCCAGAACCGTGCTGAAGTAGCTAACCTAACCTCATCTCCGAATAAAAATTCTAACTTCGAACAAAAATTCCACAACGAGGAAATCTTTCGAAAAATTCGAACCACCCCTTAATTTTCTTCAAATTCCGAACCTTGGAACTCTCCGATCCTCCATCTCTAGAACCTTGGTGAAATAGCCTAACCGAATCTCCAAATAAAAATTCTGACTTCGAAAAAGACTCCACAACAAGGAAATCCTTCAAAAAATTCGAACCACCCCATAATTTTCTTAAAATTCCAAACCTTGGAACTGTCCAACCCTCAAAGTTAGATAAGGTTCGAGGATCTTCACGAAGTAACCCCAAAATCACCATTCATCAAGAAATATAAAAGAAATACTTGCATTAATTTCACCCGCCTGACTGACCCAAGATCTCGATCCAGTCCAATCGAAAAATCCCATTTCTTCTTCACTGTGAAGTGTCGTTGGCTCGGTTTCGTGCGAAGAATGTGGTGTTCGAACAGTGCCTCGCGTTGACCTATTAGTCGAAAGCGAAAGGGAGAGGAACGTGTGCAAACAGAGGAGTACAAAGAAGAAATCGGCATGGTGGTCTGCGTGGCTGGCTTTCTCACGGGGTAGGTGGTTGTCGTACATGGCAGTCGTACGGGGGTGAATTTCAAGGGATGATTCATCGCGAGAGTGATTCACAAGCGCGAAACGGTCGCCCGAATGGTAATTGCCGGCAGCTGCTGATCAGAAGTGCCGTTTTTCGTCGCAAGTCCCGAGCATTCGCAGCGATGTTCCGTCGGAGTTGCGGCTGGCAGGCTTACTTCTGGTAAATACCCGGTTGACAGAGGTCTCTCTGGGCCTCTGACCCTATTTCCAATCTCTTCGAGTGGATTTTAGTATAATATCTATTAAAGTTGAAGAAAACAGGATGGAAAACAGGATTAAAATCTCCACTTCCTCTTGGAGTGTCTCATTTCACCCGTGGATCACCTGGATGTTAGTTGACTACTCCGATTTTGAACCTGGAGGGATGAACAGAGAGGTTAGGATCGTCGAAGAGGATTAACGAAGTGTCTTGGGAATTGCTTGAATCAAATGAGGTAGAGAGGTTAGGACGAACCGTTGAAGAAGATTAACAAAGTGTCTTGGGAATTACTTGAACCGAAAGAGATAGAGAGGTTAGGTCGTTGAGAAAAATTGCGCAGGAATATTGTAATAAACGCGATGGTTGCCCCGCGAGCAGTTAGAAACGCGTCCACGATGGAAATCGTAGGCCTATCTTCGTTGACGAGCGGGATCTCCGGAAATCACGTTTGGCAATCACGTGGCGAGCGGATATTGAATAAACCAATGGCGGCGCTCACTTATGGACGTGTACGCGATCAAGAACAAGATGAGTCTGCGAGATTAGCTTGCAAATTGCGCGCGATAACCCCGTTACCACTTGTTTTCCATCGTGATCCCATCGGCAGATGCGTTTCTTTTTCGTAATTTTCATTATTACGATATTCGAAATTAAAATCCGCACTCGAAACTACGCTGTTCGCAGCATTCTAGAATGTTGGGAAATACCGATATGCGTCCTCTTTTTAGAGATATGGTAAATAACCTCTGGTGATTTTATCTAGGGGATTTTGTTGTGGAGACTTTCTTTATTTCTCGAATTAACGATTACCTTATCTTGCTGATCGAAATAACCGATTTGAGGCATTTTACTTCTCCATTTACTGGAAATACGGAGTAGTATAGTTGCTTATGGCAAAATTAATATGAAGATAGAAATAGAAACTAAGTAATTATTGTATATATATATCCTCATTATACAAGTTTTATTATTGTAGTATATCTGTGCATACTATATTTTCGAGCACGCTAAGGTTGTTCCAGTGTTCTACTGACCAGCTCGATCACTCTCATTAGTCAACCGATATTATTCCTCCACCGGTATCAGCTTGGTCAGATGAGATACAGCATGATTTAGTTCAGGTGTTCAACTTTGTTGGTTAGGTTATTTAATGCTAACATACTTGCTCCAAAGATGAATTGCGCGCTTGGAACGATAGACAACGTTAATGGTCTCTAAACCCGAACGACTTAACCTAAAACCAGGCCCGACTGATCATCGTGATCGTATATTCCGATATCAATTGATCGCCGTGTACCGTTAAAGTTATGGCAAATCGTGATGGAAGATAGAATAAAGATAGCTGAATTTACTCTCCGAATTTAAATACAGGGATAAATAAAATTCCCAATCGGAGAGACGTAAGTGGTCCATTCGCGAAAGCGGAACGCTTTCCTCGCCAGATTCAGCGTCCCACGAAAGAAGAAGCGAATCGGTAACCGTGAAATCTTCGAGGGAAAGGTGATCGTCCAAAGATGGCATTAGGCATCGATTCTTATTTTTCTTATTTTGTTCTCCTTTTTCTTTCCCTCGCCGAAGATCCGTTTCAGCGATTGGCAGACCTCTTCATCGCGAAAAATTATCCCTCGAAGGGATAAACCGCTGCACGATGATGTGCAGCTGCCATCGAGCCACGTGCAGTCGAAAGAAATTGACACGAGGCGTGTTTGGGGAATTTTCTTCCAGGCCAGGTTAGCAGGTGCTAGGGGAAAATTGGACGCGGGTAGAAAGATGTAATATCAGCGACATCTAGGTCCTTAGCGAACTATCTTTAATCACAGATGCACCTCCTCGATAGAACATTTACCATTCTACGATGAATCCATTCGAAATTCTACTTTTATTTACAGAACACCATAACGCATCGTCTCAGCAAAAGAACTTGCCTGGTCGCAAGTTTGACTAATATACTACCTCCACTGAGGTATCATCTAATAATTACAGAACTCTACGATTCTATAATTCGGTTATTCTACGATTTCATAATGCAAAGTTGTATTATGCTATTTTATGACTATAATATAAAAGCTCGACACCATAACGCATGTCTCAGCAAAAGGGCTAGCCAATCTTGCCTGACCGCAAGTTTGATTAGTATTACTACCTCCACTGAGGTATCATCTCATAATTACAGAACTCTGCGATTCCATAATCCACAATTGTATTATACTACTTCATGACTCTGTAATATGAAAACACCAATTTCCTCCAAAACTCTATATCTCTACGCTACAAAGACTTTACAGATTGCGTCACTTACAAATTTTTACAATTTTATAATTTTCCATTCTATTCCTCTATTATTTTAACCTATCGATAACCTATTATTCCAAATTCCAAATTCCAACTTTCCCAGAGACCAACAATTCTATCCCCTTTTACACACGCTCGCACATACCCTCTAACAATCTAACTGCACATACTGCTGGTCAGACGAGTACACGTGAATTTAGCAATCCAAACTCTCATGCACCGGATTCGTGATCCCCGAAACCAGAGCATGGCCCAATATTCGCCCTTGTAAACTAACCACCCTATTTCTGTTGCAGTTTCCCGCAGAAGATGGAGAGGCCGTCGCAGCACGCGGCTAACGTGAACCAGGTGCACGGGAGCGGCATGCACGGCGTGTACTCGTCCGGCAGCCAGACATCCCTGACAACGTCCTATATCACGGGCCAGTCGTACGTTCAGAGCCAGAACTATGCACACGGCCCTTATAACTCGACATCCAACGTGAGAGTGTACACTCACGCGGGCTACAATCAGCCTCAAAGCTACGGCACCATGGTGCAGGGCTATGGTGGTCAGCCACAAGCCGCAGGGTATCAACAGAATCACCTTAAAAAAGGGCCTGTACGTAACGGAGACGTGCTGAAGAGGTGTCGGCTGCAGACCGCGTAAGTTGAACACTGATTTAACCCTTCACCAAACATAGGTCCCCTCAGAGCCCAGACCTGGAGATCTAGTTGTTATCCCAGACGATAAATGTAAAAGCAAGTAGCCAAGGGTACTAATTGTGGGAGAAAGTCGTTCCCGTAGACAAATTTTTCACTCTTTGCATGGTCCAGGTAGACCTGTTGGTACAAATTTGTTTGGAAATAGAGATATGACGAAGTGGTAGAATGTCAGAGGTATTCTATGTGAGTTTTAGGCTATAGAGAAGTGATTCTATTGAAGAAGAATCTTCCTATGATGAAATAGAATAAAATCGTAGCAGTCAGTGATGATGATCACAATAGTCAACGTGTTAATTCACCACATGATCCTTTTTTATATTATCGTGAAAAATGTTGTCAATTTTATAGCAAAAAAGCCTGGACTTGCTTGTCTATGGGGACAAAGGTCTTCGTGTGCAAAGGCCTTTAGTTTTCGTCGAAATAAGCAAATTTTTCGTGTCCGACATTTTTCTTTATTTATCTCATCGACTTGTTGAAATTCACCGTGATGCTGACCAATATTTTTTCTCTGGAGCAGGTACGAGTTATCCCAAGACCTGTTGGATAAGCAGATCGAGATGCTAGAAAGGAAATATGGCGGCGTGAAGGCGAGAAACGCCGCGTTGACCATTCAACGGGCTTTCAGAAGATACACTCTGCTGAAAAAATTCGCAGCCATCACTGCCATGGCCAAGGCGGAGAAACGTCTGAGCAGGAAGCTGCAGGAAACGACAGAGAGGGCAGCAAGTGTGAACGAGCATGAGAGGATGGTCTACCACAGTCAAATTTACATACAACAACCGCAGACGGCAAACAGACCAATGCCCATCAGAAGTATGTCCCTGAGGGAGAGGAGACACGTAGAGAACTCCCAGTCGCCGATACCGAGAAGCCAGAGCGGCAGGTGCGAGGTCCAGGTCGCTGGACACCAACACGCGAACCATAACATACATCAAAGCGGCAGACACACGCCCTCTTTGGCGCCCAGTCCTTGCAACAGACATCAACAGCTACCCCCGAGTCCATGCTGGGAGTCCAGCTCTCAGGAAAGCGGATCTAGCATGCATTATTACAATCCACAGGTGACTTAGGCTTCTTATCCTGTAGCTGCCAGTATCCCTTTGGTCTAGAACCTTGAATTTGAGAAGACATGTCTGTAATTGCGTCGAAGAAACAGAGCAAATTAAAGTAAAATTTGATAGTTGAGTTTTACCTTTGTGTTATAGGAAGACGATGATATTGTATTGTAGATTAGCGTAAATAAACAGAAGGAACTGCTTTTATAAAGATAATAGTCTGGTCCCTGTAATTAGCATTTAAAATTTTTGAACAAAAGTGGATTTATCTTCTATGTTGTGAAGTAAAAATTTTCACTTATTTCATAGTATTATGTAGGAATAGTCTATTGCAAAGTACTTAGGCAAGTAACGATAAATAAAATGCTTGGCCTGATTTTAGGAGACGCTTTGCAATATCAGACAGGAGACACCACCGCGGGATCTGCTTCGGACGCCTTGTACTTCGCCATCAACGCCTCACAATCTTCAGACACAGGTGGTTCAGAACTGGAGTAACGCCGGGCATCTTGGTTCTGCCGGTAGAACGAGAGGATCCGCGAAGAAGGTGCCGCCGGAAGTGCCAAAAAGAACGTCTTCCATTACATCCAGATCTATGGAGCCACGTCATAATGGTCTTAGTAAAAGCGTCGAGAACGGTAGCCTAAGCTCCGTGCAAAGTTCTGGCAGCGATTCCACTAATTGTGAGAGCTCCGAGGGTGATGCTCAAAGAGGGTCACCTGTTTGGAAGCATAAAGGAATCGTGAGTTCCTTCTGTATTGGCTCTATCTGTATTTGTGTATGAGTGTATGCGTTTTTACCTTTGTTTCGTCACTTCCTTTTCTTCCTTTGAGGCTCTAAATATTTTGGTTTAAACGATATTCAAAAAAGAGTCTGACTTATACTTAGTACTGTCCCCCTATTTTAAAAAAGATGATTCTTGATGAAAGTTACATAGAATATTATCTTCTTTCTTTTATATATAACATAATTTGTATATTTTAATATCTAGTCAAGTTCACCTGAACACCAAGAATGCGCCAACCACACCACAGACTCCACCACCATGATGAACAGCGTGAAGGATCTCGGTCACTCTCACGCCAGTTCTGGTTATCAGCTTCCGCTCATGGATCATCCGGAAAGTATACCACAAACGAGCTACAAAGTATCAGAAACAGTGAGGAAACGTCAATACCGAGTAGGCCTGAATTTGTTCAACAAGAAACCAGAACGAGGAATCAGCTACTTGATCAGAAGAGGATTCTTGGAAAACAGCCCACAGGGTGTGGCGAGATTTTTGATCAGCAGAAAAGGATTGTCCAAGCAAATGATAGGAGAATACCTTGGAAACCTTCAAAACCCCTTCAACATGGCTGTGCTTGAGTAAATATCGCGTTGTCCTTTTATGCTCTTTTATTTTCTTGCACGGGGAAAAAGTGAAGCTAAAAGATGTAATGGCGCATTCAGAGAAAGTTAATCTATTTGTTTATCACGGTGATCGGTGATCGACGTAGCGGAAACACGCAATTTAGGTTCGTTGCTCGTTATTATAGAAAGTCGGTTTCTCTCGACGCTCTATCTTTTTAAAAACGCAATTGTTTCGTTTCAGTAGTTCCATTTGATTCTTCGACAGTGGTATAAAGAGTAATTCTGTGGAACTGCTATGAAATAAATACTAGAAATGGCGTTGATCTATTTGCAACCGGTAGTTTTGCAACTTCGGAAAAAAATTTAGGTCAAGGAGGATTAGTAGTAGATAACATTACTCGCGATTGACGTACGTCTATTAACATTCGAGATACTGAAATAATACTATAAAAAAATACGAGAAATCTTTCTGTTATCGCAATGTAAATTAAAAAATTAACGTGTTATAGAAAAATGATACAACATCATCCTGAAAGTTCTGCATCCTTAACTTCGTGACATTCGTATTTTAAATAGTGCAAAGTGTAGTGGTATATCTGCCATAAAAAAAATCTGAATTTGAACTCTAAAAACCTCAGGGATCCCTTTTCAGACCTATAAATGGTGTGACGAACGTGTAATATAAGTCACTGCAATTGGACCACACAGTAGGCAGAAAAAGAACATATGTTAGGTGAATGGAGAATTTGAGAGTGAAAATGGTGTCAGAAATAGCTTTTAAGTCATTAATCCGTGGTTTAACTTTTTGAATCCAGTTTAAAATGTTTTTTGGTTACATTTTACAAATATTTGTAACCAATATTTATTTCTCTATTAATTATATAATATGAATTGATAAAGTAAAACACGTTTGTAACATTTTTACATCTTTCAGATGCTTCTCTCATGAGCTTGATCTATCAGGAATGCAAGTAGATGTCGCCTTGAGGAAGTTCCAGGCATACTTCCGGATGCCAGGCGAAGCTCAGAAAATAGAGCGACTAATGGAGGTGTTCAGCCAGCGTTATTGCCAATGCAATCCCGATGTAGTGTCCAGGCTACGCTCAGCAGATACTGTATTTGTACTGGCCTTTGCAATAATCATGTTGAACACCGATTTACACACGCCAAATCTAAAACCAGAGCGCAGAATGAGGCTGGATGATTTTGTCAAGAATCTCAGAGGCATAGACGACTGTGGAGACATTGACAGAGACATATTGGTTGGAATATATGAAAGAGTAAAGGAAAATGAATTTAAACCTGGCTCAGACCACGTTTCTCAAGTAATGAAGGTTCAAGCCACGATAGTTGGTAAAAAGCCCAACATGGCGTTACCACATAGAAGATTAGTTTGCTACTGCAGACTGTATGAGATTCCAGATATCCACAAGAAGGAGAGACCGGGTGTGCATCAACGGGAAGTATTCCTCTTCAATGATCTCCTCGTTGTCACGAAGATCTTGAGCAAGAAGAAAAATAGCGTCACCTATACGTTTAGACAGAGTTTCCCGTTGTGCGGAATGGTAGTCACGCTGTTTGAAGTTCCTCGTGAGTTATAACTTTAAAATTGGTTTACACATTTCGTTGGCCATCTGTTCGCCAAAATTCTAATTCTTTTCTCGATTGAAATATTATACTATAACTTTACTGATATCTATGATGAAAAGCTTGATATTCTCCAATATTAACAATTGATGCATTTTATGTAATTATTAAATTATTTTGCAGATTATCCGTATGGAATTAGGCTCTCCCAACGCATGGATGGAAAAGTTTTGGTTACATTCAATGCGAGAAATGCGCATGATAGGTGCAAGTTTGTGGAAGATCTCAGAGAATCCATCAGCGAAATGGACGAGATGGAAACCTTACGGATTGAGACGGAACTGGAACGACAGAAAAGCAGCAGAAGTGCCAGAGGTGCAGCTGAAAATAGAGACTCTGGAGTGGCAGACGTCGAGATATGTCCTTGCCCGGGGCCCTGCTCTGAAAGATCGGAAACTACCGACATGGACACCCAATTGAAACGCTCTGCACTTAGTAATTCTCTTTTGGACATACACGAACAATGTAAATAAAATTTTTCAATATCTATGTAATTAATTTCAAAAATTCATTACCGACTGTAGAAAATGTAATTCGTATTGATAAATAAATTTGTGGTTTAAATTTTCTTTTTTATCCTTTTTTACAGTTGCTGGTGAAAAACCGCAGCGACGTGGAAGCGTGGGCTCACTTGATAGTGGTATGTCGATTTCTTTTCAATCTACATCTGCCAGCTCAATGAGCCAAGGCATTAAACATCCTGGACAAGTTCATCCTATGCATACAGGGGCTACAATCCCTGGTGGTGCTAAGGGACTGGCTCAGCAGCCGTCTTTTTTGGGAGGTCTATTCGCCAAACGGGAACGAAAGCTCTCACAATCGGAGGAATCTGGCCCGTATAGTCGCACCACGGAAGTGTAATATTCCCTTTCAGTGCTACCTAAGAAATAACAGGCCAAATGGAACTCCCACAAGGGGACACATCTTACATAGTAGTATATCAAAGGCATAAAATATACTACACGAAGTTTCATGAGAAAATGAGTTTCACATTTATGTATTTTCCACATACAAAATATGAACTTGTATGTAATATCATAGCTTCAATTGTATCATCATTATGGCTGTAATATTATATATATGATATACAGAGAAAGAGGAAGACATAAAACTTTGAATATTACTTTTTCATGAAAATTTAAACAGTATATTCTAAATATTTGATGCTACTAAACCATACGTGAATCAAATGGATGATTTATGTGTCGTACAATCATGGAACATGTGAACCCTTTCGACTTTTATGGAAGCGAATGAACGTTGACTTTATACGTGATTAAAGAGACTGATACAAGTAAAGAAAAGAATAATAAGAAGAACAACAACAAATAAAGAAGAGAAAACAAGTTATTCTACGTACATTTGAAGTCCAGAAGCGTGCTTCGGGAAGCAACGCAATACAGAAGACAAAAGAAAAAGAAAGACAAGGAAGAAGAATAAGAATAGAATAATGAAAGAGCGAAGGCAATTTAATAGACAGTATAAATTAATTGGATTGGGCAGGATCCAATCACGTTTACACCCAAGACAAAAAAACAGATTTGGTAAGATGACAGGGTGAAGTAGCCTTCGTGGAGACACGTGTATAGTATTTATTCAAATGAAAAAAAAAAGAAAAAAGACAAAAAAAAAATGTCGAATCGGTTCATTTTTTCTTATGATATTTATAATAATTTCCAATGAAGCTCGTGAGATCCCCTCTACGTATGTAGATAATCGTTCCATTGGTCGCTTAAATCCCATAAACCGATTTTCTAACGAGGAGTCAAGTGACTCGACAAAAAAAATCTTAACACCATTAAATATAAAAAATAAAAAGATAAAAAAAGAACGGTTTATGGAAATAAAGTGGCTCTAGTGTAATATCGTGTTTTTTGCAAGTATCGACGTAGTTATACTTGAACAATTGTACATAATAGATATATAATAGATATATAATGGTAATTGTATAATTACAATGATGATAATGATTGATTCTGTAACAAAAAGAAATCATAGCCTAAGGAAACCGATAAGCAATCCCACTCTCAATGTTAGGTGCATGTTGATGTCTAACAAATTTTTAAAATCACAACAATGAAAAAAAGAACATTTGAACATAACAGTCTTTGTAAGAATTAACATTTAAAAGCAGGGAGAAAAGGAAAAAAATAAGGGAGGCATTTTTCGTTGTTGCGGTACATTCATAATCCTCTGCAAGTCGTAGTTCTGCTTATGTATTCAAATTGAGCAGTCCTTTTTTTCCAAAGCTGCGTACTAACGAGAAATTTCAATTAACCAATTAGTTAGTTTCTCATCTCATAGCACATAAATAATTTTCAGCATCATTTTAAACAATATTGTAAGGATCAAACATGATTCTTAAGAATGCTTATGAAAGGAAAGGACAACTTGTATGCCTTATATACTGCCACAACTTATCATCAAGAGATGAGAAACTAATTAATGATTCTAAAAATTAGGTGATAGAAAACTTTTGAAAGGCTACAGAATTACATTCAGAAAAATGAATAGTTTGTACATATATATATAACCAGCGATCGCAATACCAAGTAATAGTAATTAAAAGAGATATCTGTTAATTTTGTTTCAAAGTGACTAATCAGTGAAATTTGATACACTGTACATTATTATAATTCATTTCGGACTTTGGGAGTTTCTTTATAATTAATATCGTCAAAAGCATTCGTAATTTTTGTACAAACTTCTAAATTTATTTTCGTAGTCCTTTGATAATGATCTTGAAATTAAAATGACTCTACCTTTTTGCACTTGTATTGATAAACATCTGTTTCCAAATTAAATTTCCTTATCCACGTAATTTGAATCCTTCAGCTGTTACAGAAATACCTTTTAGAACAATAGCTTATTTTTTTTCTGAGTAAGGAATCTTAACAGAAGGTACTTACTCGTATTTTCGAAGTAAAATAATAGATTTACTAGAGCAGTTAAGATTTTCTACATTTTATCGTCTATATAGATTCTGGCTGCTATCACGTTTCTCAATCTAAATGCCTATTACTCTCTAAGTAAACAGAGAAAAAGGCTGTAATGATCATATAGGTTCTAACTAATAGTATAATTCAAGTTAGCTATTCGCGTTGTTAAAGCGAGAGTATGCCTTACGAAAATTATCTATAGCCTTTACAGCTGAAGGACACAAAACCGAGGAGAACTCGAACACAGCTGGTTGATAAAGTGTTCATCCTAACTGTATATAGACTCCCATGGATCCGTAATAAGTCCGTAGTCTTCAGCGTTATTAATTCTAGTCTTTCTCATCAGGAGAGTTCTCCGATTACGCTGTAACGTTCGCAAAAGAAAATAGTAATTCCATAAAACTTTGTCAGGAAAATCTTGATGTAGTTCTTAAGGGTGTGGTTTACAATAAAGAGTGTAAGATCAGTCTAATATAACCTAAGGATCGCGTCAATTTGCGCAAAGGATAAAATAAATTGTTCGTTTGAATTCCCGGAACAAGAAATTAACAGACGGAAATTCTTCTGTGATAATCTTCTTACAAATGAAAAGATAAGAAAAGACTGATTAGGAAAACCATCTTCTATGTCGCCGTATTTAGAGAAAAATTCATGAGAAAGTGAAAAAAAAAAAAACATCGTAAACGCTCTCACGAACTCGTCCATTGCTTGATGATTCCTATAAATCATGCGTTGCCATATTTATTTAGGAACGATGAAGATATCCATCAACTTCTACTTCTTGGACGGGAACGATGAGAATGCGAAGTTTTTCAATCGTTTATAGTTACACTTCGGTGTTTTCCAAACTCTTTTTTACATGTATAGTTATCCTATATCTTACAACAGTTAAATACAGTCAAGTAAGTTGTATGAAAGTTTTGCACGAGCTTATATGCATACGCACGCGCGTGCGATGCGTGCGCATGTACGTGTACGTGCGTAAGTGATTGGATGTGTGGAAGTAAAAAATATAAATTTCAATTTGACATTAATAAAATTAGTGGTTACCAAAGTAGAGATATAAGTTTCAGTAGAATGACTTCCTTTAAAGAAAAAGAATGGACAGTTCGGGAATCACGAAAACAAGAAACATAGTGAAAATGATCATACATCGAAGCAATACAACGTTGGAAAACATAGCTAACACGAATTATTCGCGAATCTACGGTGACTAAATTCGTTTCAATTTGACGCGATCTTCGAAAAATTGCGACACGCAGAAACAATGTCGATAAACCAGCGCATTTAATGAAAAAAAAAAAAAAAAAAATTGATGAGAAAGTAAATAACTACGTTATTAACTAAGAAATAACAATTGCTCCCCGTACGAAAGTATCGCCTCCTTTGTTAATCTAACGAACGCTGTATGCACATTGTGTTAATAAAGAACTATGAGTCTGAAACGTAGATCTACCTATTCTTGTTTTAGTACAATAAAATATAGTACAGACAACCATAGGACGAAGATTTAACGTAAACAAGATAGAAAAAAGCGATTTGTATTATTTGTTTTACTAAATAATTAGTATGTATAGTAATTTTTATAATTTTATATTCATCCATCATTTTCTTATAAAGTTGTATTTCTGTCGTAACATGATGTGGATAAGTAAAAAAAAAAAATACGATCTTTAAAAATTCTAAGGCATTTACCTCTGTTAAATATTTGTGTTATGTTTACAAAACCCCACTCATTAGATTATGAAACTGACAGAAATGACTAACTTGAAGGTTCAATTACTTGATTCTAAAACTAACTTAAATAAAAAAACAATATTCAGAATTTATTCTAGAATAATAAGAACAATTAAACAAGGAAAGTTAATGTTTCCTTCGCTTGTCACGATCATCTCTTCGTTGTTCTCGCTCATCTTTACGTTTTGTAGTTGCAGTAGTAGAACTGCTTGCACGTTTAGCTTGTTTCAAAAACTGATCTAAACCGAAAGGATCCTCCTCATCTTTTTCAAATTGTACAGGCCCTGAGCGCGTTGTCGATCTATCAGTTCCACTAAATTCCTTATCCGGAACAAATCTAAAATCACAAAAGGTTTTAAGGACATTTAACTAGAAAAATACTTTTTTGTACAGCATTGTATGTAAATACTTTGGAAACACTCGTAAAATTAATCGACTGATTAAATACAGATACCTATTCGTCTTAACGAGTTTTTCTAAATCATCTCCGTAAGTGTCTTTATCGATATTTTTACTGGGGCGGTATATATGTGAACCGATAGAGTTTGAATCTTTCCACGGCTTGTCATATACATTATATTCGTCATCATGTCCGTAACCACTATCCATTCCTTTGCTAGTATTAAACAATCGTTGATCGAATTGGGCTTCTCCAGTATTGGGAATACTTTTCGCTGGTAAACCAAGTGCAATTTGTTCACTAATATCTCGTTCTCGTTCGCGTTGCAATCTAGAACGCTTATCTGGTGCAGCACGTGCCAAATTGCGTTCTCGAGCACGATCTTTGTGTCGCTCTTGTCTGAGTTGATCTCTTTCACGTGACTCTTCTGATTTTTCTATACGACATCAAAAACAGATTTAATAATAAGCTTCTTCTAAATGTTCTAAATTATTTAAAATCATAGATTATTGAAGTATTCAAAACACGTATACAAACCCATCGCAGCTGACTTTAAACCAGCACGCTCTTCTCTAGCTTTTTGCGCCAGTTGTCTCAAATGGTCTTCCTTCTTTTCTTTTTCTTTCTGTGCCAGTTTCTTTTCAAGTTGTGCTCGCATTTCTACCGCCTCTCGAGCTTTTCTGTCTGCAATATAAAGAGCCTCAGCCAATTTGGCGAAGTTCTCATTTATATGAACTTGCTGTAATCCGCGACCGTCTGCAGCTAGACGTTTGTCAAGTGGAATTGTGTAGCCCTGAAAACAAAATGTTTGTAAAATTTCAACTATTGAAAGGATAAAAGAACTTTTATCTTTATAAAAGAATTTACTTTTGCGTTCTTCCAGTTACTGATACAAGGCGGTATTTTCCATTCTTTTTGCTCTTTTACTGTTACTTTCCTTGTAGGCGAATGCATAACTGGTGCTGGAGGCGATGGTGGACCTCGTGGTATTTTCTTGTTAATTCTTTAATTGAAGAATACTGCACATTATTCGTCGCATAGTGAATAATATTTATTTAAAATAAATAGAGCATTTAATGTTCTGTTCCAAATAAATTTATGTTTTACTTAAAATAAAACTCACTTGAATTTTGGTGGTTCTAAAGGATCTATCTGAGCCTCCACCATTCTAATAACCCTTTGTTTTGCTCCAGAATTAAATGACTGTCCTTGTTGTGAAGGTGTATATCGAATATACTGAGCTGGTGCTTGTTTTTCTGCACACCTCACTGGCATTGCTGCAGCTATCTTTGATCTTGTTATCTTTTCTAAAGCCTTTTTGGTTTTTTCTGTGAGTTCATCAATTTCTTCACAAGGTGGACGCTGAAGGCTAGGATCTTCCTCATTTGTAATTTCTGAAGGTAGCAAGTCACTGAGTTTGCTATAAACAATCTGTAAAAAAAAAAAAAAACAAAATAATAAAAGGCAAATTAACTACTATTATTACAATATTGTACATTAAATTACCTTATCTTTAGAGTGTCCTTGTCTAGCAATAACATCATATTTCACTTTTCCTTGAGCATCAAGCTGAACTGCTAAAGCATTACTAGTAGTTTCTTTTCCCTTCATTCCCATCCCAAGAGGATACTGGGCCACATGGATTTCTGGAAATGCTCCACCATCTCCAAAATCCTGCACAGTTTATATGAGTCTATAAAAACTTATAAAAATAATGCAGAATGAAATATATAAGAGTAATTGAAAATAATTTTTGTTTATATACATTATAAATAGATGATTATAAAATCTCTTACTTCTGGATTTCTTGGTACCCATCCTTTACGTTGACCATATGGTGGAGCAGTAACAACAGCTTTAACAAGTGCAGATACTGGTCTTTGGCGTAATTTTTGTTCCCGAGCTTCATCTTCTCTATCCCACACCACCTGTGATGGTGCAGGTAATAAACTGTAAAAAAGACACTGGGTAAATACTGTTATAAATGATGCAAATGATAAAAAATATAATTATAAACATAAAAAACATATCTATGCATATTAAAATTACTGAAATGCAATTACATGGTTTGTTTTGTTTAACAAGTACACTAATCAGAGTTTAATACAATACACTAAAATAAATCGCTTGTAAAATTTTATTATTTCACAAAGTGCATTATATAATGTAAGAATTTCATAATATACAAGTTTACAATTAAAAGAAAATAAATTCGAAGTAGCTATCACAAAGACTAACCTTGTCAGCGACATTTTATTAATTGTGAAACGCAGTGATACCACCAACTATGGAAATATTCATGCACTTGCCATAACAATGAAGGTAGACGTAGATTGTAAAATAGTGCATCTACTGTACAAAAATTCTCTAGACTTTTATCCAATAACATTTTTAGAAAATTCAAATGAAATCCCTGGAATATACAACCAATCTCTCATAATTATATTCTTTCGATGAAATTTTCGAAATTTTTTAATTTTTTAACTAAAATTGAATTTTTTAAAAGAATGTGATATAGTGGGAAATTTTATAAAAAAAAACTACACTGAAAATAAAACTTTTATTTGTACATTATAAATTAATTTCAAATAACTAAATAAATAAAAAATTTAATTAATTAATTTAATTAAGTTTAATGAAATAAAATGATTTAAATTGTTTTTTCTTATAACATACATTTCTGACGTTACTAAATCATTGAATAAATTCTCGAGAGAACATCGCCACATTGACCTTCCACTTTAATATTTGCTAAATCATCTGCTCTAGTTTTTCCTATGTTCAATATGGCTATTGGTATGTTGATATTGTTAGCTTGCAACGCTATTCGATAGCCAGAAAATGTAGATAATGTAGTACCCAGAATTAGTAAAGAATCTGAATACTCAACATTATATTTTACACTTTCTACAACTTGACGTGGAACATTATCTCCAAAGAAAATAATATCTGGTTTAAGAATACCACCACAATTTTCACATGATGGAACTTTAAATCCTTCTATTTGCTCCTAAATTAAAATACATCATTTAAATCAAAATTTTTAATAACTTCTAAACTTTCTAAATACTTTTATAACATTATATACTTCTAATAAATCCACATCTCCATCAGGCCTTATCATCTGACTAGTTGCTGTAATATTTGGATTATTTTTATTCAAAATTTCTTGTAAATAGTACCTACATATTCTCTCATTACAATTTAAACACATTACTTTGAATGCAGTCCCATGTAATTCTATCACTCTTTTGCTACCTGCTTTTGTGTGCAAATTATCAACATTTTGTGTGATAATACACCTAACTTTATTTGCATCTTCTAATTTTTTTATTATTTCATGTGTATTGTTTGGTTTAATAGAAGAAAATCTATAAAATTATATTTCTAAATTATTTTAACTTACATGACTGATTTTACAATTATTTATCTAGAAAGAAATTACAACCTTGGCCAACCTACATAATTTCTAGCCCAGTATCGTTTTCTAATGTCATCTTTATTACAGAAGTCTTTATAAAGAACTGGTTTACGATTACTTCTTGCATAAATACCAACACCTTGAGATCTATAATCTGGAATACCACTTTCTGTAGATATTCCTGCACCTGTTAATATGCATATGTTACTGTGATTGTTAATGAAGTCCTTTAACTCCAATAAATCTGAATCTTTCACAGGTTCACATTTTGGAACAAATCTAAAGTCCGATGAATATGTTCTACCTATACTTTCCACAACAATAAGTAATAACAGAATTAATAGAAATATTAATAATATAGATTAATGTATGAAATATTAAATCGAATATTAATACTAAAATAACAGACACTCACGCAATAAAGTTCTAAATTTATTAACAGTTCTATACAACTTTAGGTATATAACATTCATTTTAAAATTTTTTATAATTTTCTTATAACAATTATGCTAAAAACATTGATATTGTATAATTTTATTTAAGGTTAACTTTATATTCGTCATCTTATCTTAAACTGGCGACAGCATATGTGTGATGTAATCTTTTAACATAAAAGTAATTATCAAGAACAACACATTTTGTAACATATTACTAACGTATCCTCAAAATCGTATTTTTGAAAATCTTTTCTACGCAAAAATTTATTTAAAATAATTATTTTAATTACAAAATAAAATTTTAAAAAAACTAAAAATGTATAAATTTAAGTCAATTTCTTAGTCATTCTAGATCATTCAAAGATTGTTCAAGATTCAAGAAGATTCATAGATTGTTCTAGATTAAATCTAGATTAAAAAAGTTATTGAGTATAAATCATTTATTTAATAATTTATTAAAACATTTCTTTTTTAATTAATATTATAATTAATGAATATCATAATTAATATGTACTAATTAATTTAAATCTGTAATTTTGTATAATAAATTATACATTATACTGTAAAATGAAAATCCCTAGGTCTTTGATTCTGAACATCATCTACTTGACAATCCATATTCGGATTAGTTGAAGCCATTGATAGAAGTCTTACGTGTTGAGAGACTGTATTGTGATACATTGTAAATTGTGATTATTGTCCTGTGAAATGGCTGCAATTAGTTTATTAAATCCGAAAGCTGAATTTGCTAGGGCTGCTCAAGCATTGGCTGTAAATATTTCAGCTGCAAAAGGAATTCAGGATGTGATGAAAACGAATCTTGGACCGAAAGGCACCATGAAAATGTATGTATATTTAGTCTCACGTGCAGATTATGAACCGTTTGAATCATGTAATTTCTTTTTTAATAAATTAAAAAAGAAAAAAATTTGATAAAATAATAAAATATGAAAAGTAGAAAGAGAAAAGAGAAAATAAAATATTAAAAGAGAAAGTATATAATATTTTACATACTATACAATAAATTTATACAAACAAAATATATAAAAATCGTATTCGTATATTATCCTTATTAGGTATTATTATTACTTCCATAAATTATTAGTAATGGATTATGAAATAAAACTAAAAAATCTCAATTTTTGTTGTATATGTTCTCTTTATTTTTGTAATTTTACAATTATTAATATATATTTTTTAATTAATTCAAATATTAATTAACTGAACTATAATTTTATAATTTAATTTTGTTAAGGCTTGTTTCTGGAGCAGGTGACATTAAAATTACAAAAGATGGAAATGTATTATTGTACGAAATGCAAATTCAACATCCAACAGCATCTCTAATTGCTCGAGCATCTACTGCTCAAGATGATATTACTGGGGATGGTACAACTAGTACTGTATTAGTCATTGGGGAACTTCTCAAGCAAGCTGATATTTATGTGTCTGAGGGTCTTCATCCTAGAATGGTCACAGAAGGTTTTGAATTAGCCAGAGTTAAAACATTGGAAATATTAGATTCTTTAAAGATCCCAATTGAACCTACAAAAGAAAACTTAATAAATGTTGCTAGAACATCACTTAGAACTAAGATACATCATTCTGTAGCTGATAAACTGGCAGAAATTTGTGTAGATGCGGTTTTAACTATCAGGCAAGAAAATCAAGAGATTGATCTATACATGGTTGAATTAATGGAAATGCAACATAGAACTGCTGCAGATACCACTTTAATTCGTGGCATTGTAACTGATCATGGGTCAAGGCATCCAGATATGCCCAAAAGAGTAGAGAATGCATATATATTGACTTGCAATGTTAGTCTGGAATATGAAAAGAGTGAGGTAGATATGATGAATTTAGAAAAGCTATTAGTTATTTATGTAATATGAGTAATGTGCGATGTGAGTAATGAAATTATTATTATTATTATTATGTAGGTAAATAGTGGATTCTTTTATAAAACTGCTGAGGAACGTGAAAAATTGGTAGCTGCAGAACGTGAATTTATTGATAATCGGGTAAAGAAGATTATAGAATTAAAGAAAAAGTTATGTGATGGAACCGATAAATCATTTGTTGTTATAAATCAAAAAGGCATTGATCCGCCATCTTTAGATATGCTTGCTCGAGAAAACATTTTGGCTTTACGCAGAGCGAAGCGTAGAAATATGGAACGTTTGGCATTAGCCTGTGGCGGTATACCCATGAATTCCTTTGATGATATAAAGGAAGAACACTTGGGATGGGCTGGTCTTGTATATGAACATGTACTGGTAAATAATTTTCGTAAATAGTGCAATATCTATAATTATTTTTTGTACAAAAATATAATATATATAATATATCTTTTATAGGGTGAAACAAAATATACATTCATTGAAGAATGCAAGAAACCCAATTCTGTAACAATTCTGTTGAAGGTAAAATTATAAATGAGTGTAAATTTTGAATTTATGTATTTCTTTTTTATTTTTACTGTGATCAATTTTTAGGGACCAAATAAATATACTTTGGAGCAATTAAAAGATGCTGTAAGGGATGGCCTAAGAGCTATTAAAAATGCTATTGATGATAGTGCTATTATTCCTGGTGCTGGTACATTTGAAGTAGCTGCTAGTCAAGCTCTTCATCAGTATAAAGAAACAGTAAAGGGAAAGCAACGCTTAGGCGTACAAGCATATGCAGAAGCCTTATTGGTCATTCCAAAAACTCTTGGTAAATAAAGTTATTTTAATCTGTTAAGCACATTTCTGTAATTATTTCTATTCATATGTTTTAATATTTACCTTTTCATTCGTCAAGCTGTAAATAGTGGATTCGATGCACAAGATACAATTGTTAAATTATTAGAAGAAAGATCTGCATTAGGTGAAGCAGTAGGATTAGATATTTCTACAGGTGAAGCATTAAAAGCTACAGATGCTGGTATTTATGATAATTATAATGTAAAAAAACAAATTATTAACTCATGGTAAGTATATTTGCATATAAGCATATTCTGCATAGGTTGAAATTCTCCAATACTATATTTTCTGAAATATGTATTAATCTTTTCTTTTTAGCACAATCATCGCTAGTAATCTTCTTTTAGTTGATGAAATTATGAGAGCAGGATTATCATCTCTAAAAGGTTAAACTGAAAAACGAATACTTTGCGTTTTTAAGGATTCTTTCATTTAATTTAAATGTTACATTTGCACTATCTGTATTAAATCAATTTTTTGCATAATTCCTATGTTTTTATATGCTTTCAAATAAAAAAAGTATTGCGCAGCATAATAAATAAAGTGTTGCTTTTATATTTTAAATTTAAAAATGATAAAAATATTCGATTCGTCTATAACTTTGTACAATTAATGATTCGAATAAAAGAGAATAAAATTATCATTTGTATAAATATTCTTCTCCCAATGAAAATTTAAATTATTAAATTTTGTAATTATTATATTATGAAGAATGTACACTAGAAATGACGACCACTGTTATTATAAAAATCAAAAATTTATGTGAAATTTTATATTTACAATCTCACTATACTTACAATCTTTCTTGTAAACTAAACTACTTATAGGACACTCAGTCTTGTCTTTTCATCTTATGTTCGATGTTAAAAGACTAATTTTAAAAATATCGAGCAAAGATTGGAAACAATGCAATAAAATATGAATTTTATGTACACGATTATCGTATAAATTTATGAGTACTTTATTGTTATTATATAATCGGTAATTACTTTTCAGCATCGATAAACGTTAAGCTTTACGCGTTGATATTTAAATCAATGTTTTTCACACATTCTTACAAAATTGTAATCCCTCATGATACAGTACATATTTAATTTCGCCTGAGTTGATATAAGTAGTATATCTTGAAAATTATTCAACAAACGTTTCAAATTAATGAAACTTGAAAATTGTCCATTATGAAGAGTAAGTACTTAAAAGTAACATTATTATATGTTATTATTTGTAAAAAAAAAAGAACATAGCTACACTAAGAGAGTTTCCATATTCCAAAATAAATAAATTTAATATTCATCTTTTCATGTTACTTAATTGATGAATATCACTACACTTTTATTTACAATTTTTATACCATTTCTGCATTTTGATTTTCAGAATAATTTTTTACCAGCATATAGCATGGTATAATTTGGTTTCCTAATTAATATTTCATAATATTTTTAACCAGAAATATATGTGCAGAGAGTGTGTGTGTACGCACGCGCATATATATATGTATATATATACACACACACACATAACATTAATTAACATAGGTGGTACATTAATTATACTTTAACTGATTACAATTGGTAATTCTTACACTTAAGAAAATTTTTCTTTTCATCTAATTCCGGTTGTCTAATAAGGTGATTTATAAAAGGACAACATAATCTTACAGGAAGTAAAAATATTCATTTTTTTATATTTCAAAATTTCTAAGTGTACACTAAGCGAATGTACGCAGAAAATATATAACTATCAAACAATCAATTGCGAGGATTCTATACATATTTCTCGTATCATCACAATACGAGGAGGGAATAAGGAATTTTAGAAAAATTCATAATCATCTGCTAAGTATAACGTCACAGAAAAGCAAATAATACCGTGAGTTACTTTGGTTACTGTTGATCGTCGTACCAATAATGGTTACGCAATAAATATTTATACACTGTTCGTTTATATTAAGACTCGAAAAATCGGGGAATAAATTTCCCTTTATATTTCCATTCGTTATTTCAATTTTTTAAGTGTTGCGATATTTTTAATATCGTGCTTGAGATCTTTCAATACTATCTTCGGGTTGATGTTAATTAACTGTGCAAGAGTAGTACAGTTTACTTTCATTCGATGCCCGCCAACTACCATGTACGTGTTCAATTTGGCTAAATTAACTGGACTTCTAGGAATGCCATAATAGGAAAATTGTTTGCTTTTCATTTCTTGTTGTTTGTCATTAATTTTGTTACTGGCAAGATATCTTGAATGAGGATTGGTCGATTTTCTTGCTACCGCCTTTATTCTATGAGGAATAACATTTGCACGAAATGCACTTTTGGTTGTAGACTTTTTCGCTACTGCATTTTTCGATGTTGATTCTACTGAAACTTCACTTTTATCTGTACTCTGCCCAGATTTTTGCCATTTGACTTTAACCATGATCTTCTCAACTAATTCTTCATAATTCTGTATGCTTTCTATTTTCAATTCCATGTCAGGATGCTCTTCAGTATTATGTGATGAAACTTCAGCTGGACAGCTAAAAGTTTTGTCACAGTATTTACATTTGAATAAATTGATGTGTTTTGACACATGATTTTTCATTACATTAATAAATGTTGTGGTGTATGAACATTCGGGGCAAATGTATCCTCGAGACATTTTTGTGTTTTCCTGTTTTTTAAAGTTTAATGGTAAATGTGAATGGAACATACTATGATGAGTTTTCATTTTAACCTCGGTATCACATAATTCATTACACCATTGACAAATCCATCCCTCTTCTTTCGATCCAAGAGCCTCGATTTCCTGCACGTCATTATGCGATTGCTGTAAATATAATTCGTACGGACTTTCCGTTTGCGATTTTGAGCATTGAGCTTTTATGAGCGATTTTTCCGAAGACACGCGTATTTCTTTATATCTAAATGGATAGTTCGACTTCGCTTTAGTAGAATCATTCTGTAATGTCGAATCATTGTGCACTATGTTCCAATGATTTTGAACCATATCCAAAGATTTACTACGGAAAGAACAATAAAAACAATAATAAATTGATTCCTCCTCTCTTACATCAGAGACGTGTTCCTCCTCTATATCATTGCTATAATCGTCAGCAATAGTTTTCTTATCGGGATCGATCTCTGTAGATTCGTTGGACGATTCAGGTGGTGATATGTCTTCAACTTTGAATGGTGAAAATGGGTGATTCATTTCCCAATGTTCCCAGATTTCTGAATTTGATGCTGCAGTGAAAGTACAATAAGAACATTTCAGTGTATTTTTTGTCGCATGTATCCTCATATGTATTTTGAGACCAGTCATATTCATAGCAGTGAAGTTGCACAGATTACACTTCTCTTGCGGATCAATTTGGAATTGGTTATCGCTCTTATCTACAATTTCTTCTCCGCTAATCTTCCTCTTTCGTTTTCTGTTCCTTTTCGGGAACACGATTCCATATTCCTGTTGCCAAAATTCTTCCGGTAAATCCGGCCCTTCAGCTGCTGGATTTTCAACTATTTTTTCAGGGCAACCGGGATGCTTAGAACGAATATGTTGGCGCATTAAACTCTCCGAGTTTGTGCTACGATCACAATAAGGGCAAATAAATCCAAGTCGCTTCAAATGTATCAATTGTATATGTAGTTTAAAACCACGCCATCGGAAAAATGTCATTTTGCAATGCTTGCAGGTGAATGGTTTTTCTCGACCTTGTGGTCCAGCTATATTAAAAATCATAAGTGATGTTAGCATTTTATGTCTTATGTATATTTTTAATTTAATGATATTTACCTTTTTCAGCATCAGCAATTTTTCCAGTTTTCTCTTTCCTCGATACAATGTCATTCTTTATATCAATAATTGGAGCAGCATTATCTTTACTACCCTCATCTTGTGATTCCAAATTAATTTCAGTACTTCGACTTTTATGATCTTGTTTGCTAGAAGACTTATCAGTTAAATTTGTAGCTTTTGTAGTTTTAGTAACAGTGTCTTGGGTAGCTTTAGCAAAAGATGGTTTAGTATCACTTCCACCCGCATTAGTGGTTGTAGAATTTTCTGTGTTACTTGCATTTTGTTTAGGTAATAATCCTTTTATCATGAGTGTTTGCTTTTTCAATAATGTTCCGACCTAAATACAAAATACAAATAATTAATAGCGAATATATTTAAAATAAAAATTTCAATTAAATATATCTTAAATAATTTACCCATTCTTCGATATCATCATCCGGTGATAATGGTTCGTGATTAGGACGTTCTCCGCGATGATGTTTAGAAAAGTGTTTTAATAAAGCATTACGATTTACGGATAAGTATCCACATTCTTTACAGTGCCATCTGCAAAATCTTTATATTATTAAATGAACAAAAAAATATACTTTAAAAATAACTAAACTGAAATGATAAAACTACTAACCTAGCATAATTTAATTCTCTGTAAAGATGATCTCTCATATCATGTTTGTATTTCGTTTTAAATTGTGTACACAAAGTACAGACATACATGTTACCATCCGATTTTCCATACGGACCAAATCTTCCGACATCCGATTCATTAAAATCGTTATCTTCAATTAATTTAGTCTTACTTTCTTTGGGTTTGTCTATCATATTAGGAATGTTACTTGTATTTTCCACTTCTGTTAATACTTTATCACAAGATAACGACCGTTTAGATTTCTCTTTCACTTGTTTCGTGTCATCTAATGAACCAGACTTCCCTGGCTTCATTTTAGTAGGTTTAGCAGCTGGTAATTCTACATCACTTTTCCGTTTTCCTACTTTCAAGGAAGATTCTGTTGATACTTCGTCTTCTTCTTCAAGAAGGATTCCGCGAATATGTCTAATTCGAGGCATGTCTCTTCTCCAAAGAGGAGTAGTATCAAAAGGTTCCTCTTGTCCACTTTGTTCTACATTATCAGTACTCTTTTTATTCACTCCTTTTATTCGTTGATAAATTAAAACATAATCAACATTTGATTCATTAGGGTGCTTGCTATTTATATGTTGTTCAAACATGATTTTGCTACTAGTTTTGAAGGAACATGAGTTACATTTATATTGGCATTTCTCATCATGTGTGACAGATGTATGGTTAACCATTTCTGCTTTATAAACACATTTATAATCACAGATGTTGCATTTCCAGTGATTTCCATCTGGATCTGGAACATCCTCTTCAATTTCTTCTTGTATAGATTGTTGATTTTCTGTGTTTTCTAGCTCTCTAATCACTTTTACAAAAGGTCTTTTCTCGGGATGTTTATCAGAAAGATGTCTTTCCACAATGTGTCTAGTAAATAATTTTTTACTATTAGAAAGCATAGAAAATGAACTGAACAAAATAGGAGATCTTTTAAACATTTGACAAATATGTACAATATGTATTTTATTACTATTCATTTTGCATACTTGTCAAATGTTTAAAAAACATCATTTTTGTTATTTTTAAGTATATTGTGTTTAAAATCTGTGCCTCAAACAGTGCATTATTAACCAAACGTGAGGCATAAACATTATTGTGTACCTATGGTAATGATGATGATTGCAGTGAGAACATTTATAAAGTCTGGTATCGTGCATTTTTAAATGAACACCCATTTTATCAATTGCTATATTTAATCCCTCTTGACCTGGTGGTGGTTGTGGACAATGAGGACACCGGAAATACTGTTCTTCGGAATGCAAAGCCTTTAAATGACATCGCAACATCGCTTCATCAACCGTTAAATAATTGCATTCAGCTACACCACATACGTATCTATTACCAGAAAACATCACTATGTTTTACCTCCTTTAACTTAATGCAAGACTTGTTAAAATAATTGAAAAAATATTTAATGCTTTGGCACGTGACAAAAGTCATTCTCACTTTTGTAAGCACATCTATATTATTATAATATCCTGTTTTGGAAATAGTCACTACTTACCTCTTATGCTCTGGTACAAATTTTGGAATGAATTCGTCGTCATTACTTTTGTTAGTCTCCTTCGGTTTCCCTCCCATTCGGCCATTTTGGTGGGAGCTACTTGCTAAGTTCACCATTTTATCAAACATCCGCTCTTTCTTATCTAAGCAAGGCACAGGATTAACGGGACCACTTTCTGGTACACTTTCGTCTTTTGCGTGCAACTGCAGATGTCTAATAATGTTCATACGAACTTTTGTCGTATATGGGCATACTGCACATTGTACTTCACGATTGTAAATTGCTTGACGCGGTAGAGACTCTATTTCATCTGGACTAAAGGTGAATTTTTCGCTATCCGTTACAGTCTTTTCCATTTTTTTTTCGGTTGTCTTGGTATTAGATTTACGTTTCTTTCCTTTACGTTCTCCATTTTGACGCTACACAGCAATATAAAAAATATTTATTACTTTCAATATTATAAATATTGTATTAAATACTTCTATACTATATAATATTATAGAACTTTACACATTTATAAATATTAAATATATTCATAAAATATACTTACAATAGGTTGTACAATAAATAACCCATCTACGGATGGATTCTTTGGATCAGCTGGCACTAATTTACTATACGGATACTTATGTTTCATCTTCATGTGCGCCATCGCTTGGTAACCCACCGTGCATCTCATTTTACATAACGAACAGCCAAATCGCTTTAATCCATGTGATTTTAAATGTTCTAATAAAAATCCGATTTTTAAAAAACGTTTATTACAATGTACACAGGACAAGTTTTTATTCCCGCCCCCGAAAGAACATTCTTTTGCATGTAGTCTTAAATGAGCTGCAGTTTGTCCACTATATTTACATCCTTCATAGCCACATTTGTATAATTTTGTACCTGAAATGCCAGTATCTTTGATATCCTCTAATGTCAAGGGTTTATCCGTTTTCGTGATATTACTAGAATTTTCATTCGTTTTACTAGACACGTCTTTAACGTCTTTAACATCTTTAACATCTTTGCAAGATTGTTCTTTTGTATCATTTTCTGTATCCATTTTTAATTTTTCACTTGCATCAATGCTCTCTTTTTTGTTTGACTCGGATTTTATATTTTTTGTTAAAATAATTTCAGTATCATCAATATCTACAATTTCAATGTCACTATCTTCCATTTTACTTTCATTAGCAGTTGAATTCTTAATATCTGTTTTAGATATGTCACTAGGATGGTTGCTAACTTTTTTCAAGAAATCAGGATTGTCAAGTAAATTAATATTTATAAATTCATCGCTACAATCAAAAGTTCCATTAGAAGGTTCTATTGGTTCCATGGAACTTCTGTCAGATGGAGCATTAATCTTTTTGGATTTATCCAAAGAATTTCTATCTGTGGATTCTCTATTTGAAACTGGTGTTGCTGTATCATTTATCAAATTTCCGAACATTTTACTCATGGCACTATCATTGGTATTTTCATTTAATGATTTTTCATGATGTGAAAAGTTAGCACTAAGAGAATTAGTTGTATTGTTGCTAGTTCCAAATAAGCTACATATTGATTTATTTAATGTCCCGTTTTCATCTTTGTTCAACATAATTACATCTTTAGGTAATTGTGGACAGAGTATCTTGTGAGATGGTGACGTATTAGCAACATGTATTACCACTTCTTTATTATTGTCTTTTCCTTCATTTTCTACATCAATTATTTCTTCTGTAATTTTAAATGTATCATCTAATGTTCTTATGATTAACTGGTCTATTACATCTTTATTTCGTACAGGCTGAGAAGGAAGAGATCGTTCGAGAACTTGAGGTAAGCGGTTACAATGAAACGTACTCAGATGATTGTGCATTTCACTGAAATAGTCAGAGCCATTCAAACAATACAAACATTGGTACTTGTAAAATCCGTGTATTTTATAGTGCACAAGTAATTGATCCACTTTTGGGCAAGTAACACGGCATACATGACATTTATAGGTTGAAAGGAATGACCCATGTTTATTTTTTAAATGTGCCGTAAAAGATTCAGGAACAAAGAAGAATTTTCCACAATCATGTTGACACACATAAGGATGTACATTGTCATGTCGATTAATTTCTTCTTTTAATGGTATTTCTTTCACTAATTTACCAAGTAATATACCACGATGGCCAGGATGAGCTATTGTCTGATGTATTTGTACATAAGAAGGTGCAACAGCTCTATAAAAACAGTAAATGCACTGATAACGACAATGCGCGTGTTTTTCATCGATATGTATTTTCATTTGATTCCAATCCTCTAATACCATGTAACAATAGGCACATTTCTGATAATCATATGGCGGTGACGCCTTTTTTTTCTCGATCTCATTAGCATGTTGAAGATAATGCTGTTGATATTGTGCCAATATATCGGTGGTAAAGCGACAATCACGTGCCATACATTTATACAAATGAATCAATTTAGCAGCCTTTAACATTGCATTATAAGCATCTGCGGATTTTAATTTAACTGCCGTCGTTGGAGCTACAGGTTCTTTTGGTTTTATGATTGCAGGTGTCCGAACAACTTTTAGAATTTTATAATTTAAATTTGGCTGTTGTGACGATCCAGCGACACTCATAGTTCGTGCATTCACCGGAGTTACAACTGTACTCTTACTTGCAGAAATAGGAAAAGATAATTTATTATCTACTTGGATAATTTTTGACTTTGGGGCAATTGGAATGAAATTGGTGGTGAGTTGAGAAGCAGACACAGAAACTGGAGAAGGAGACAGACTCTTTACTGGTATCAGTTTCACTGTCTCTGATGTGGATTGCACTCCCTGGATATTTTTTGTTAATGGTTGTGCAATAGTCACGGTATTGAGTCTTTTTAAAATTAGAGGTGAATTAGATTTTTTCAATAAAGATACACCTTTGCTTTTTATAGGAGAGGTTTCCATTGCTTTTCTTATGTCATGTATCTATAATGACAATAAAAAAAGAAGAATATATATACCTTAAAATGAATGCAAAAATTTTTAATAAATAACATATCATTCTACTTACAATGGGGTATTCGACACTATCATTATCAATCCTTGGAGCAAGACTAACTACACTTTCAATTTTTAAGAATGAACACTCTTCCTCTATATCTGGTTTTAATACAGAATCCATTTTTTTCTCTGAAGTACTAGGACCCGGATCTATTAGATAAAATACTTCCGTATAATTATACATAACGCGTCGTATATTACAGTATTATTTTGGTATTATTACACAAACATGTATATATATATATATACATACTGGTCTTTGATAGTGATTCTTCTTGAACATCTAAAGGCTGTATAGGTACTGATAATATGTCTCCACTAAGACGTCTTAATCGAATGAAGTTCTTAGGCGGATTATTATCTTCATGTGGTTCATGTGATATCTCGTGGAATTTATTTTCCATTTTCCCGACAAATTTTTTGATATTAGATATGGGAACAACATCTGGTGGTTTGGGAATAGAACCAAAAAGTGAAGCTTCTTTGGATTCTTCAGATTTAGAGTAAACTTCATCTTTACATGTTTCAAGTGGTTTTGTTGCTTGAAGTTGAGCAGCAAGCCTCTGAATAGTGGTAAGCATTGGATCTTTGGAAGATGTATTAATATTTGAAGTTTCTTTCAAAATCATGTTAACATCTGTAGGCATTTCGCTATCTGACTGTTCACTACTAGAATCAGAGTCATAAATAGAAGCAACATCCTTTATATTTGTGTTATCACTAATTTCTGTGTCACTTTCGTCATTCTTTTTCTGATCTAATGTTGCCAATGGATCCTTGACTTTTGACGTTGGATTTTCTTCAGATATAGGTTGAGAATCACAGTCTATACTGGATAAAGGTTGTGTCTGTAAGTTACAATCCTTAGGTTGTTTATTGTTTGAAGTTTCTTCAGACGAGGATATATTTTTTTTTGACTCTTCTATGGAAGGAGTCTCAGAATTCTGAGGCAATTCAGTAATATTATTTTGAGATGATGCCGAAGTTAATGAATCCATGGAATTGATTGGTGTTTTATTCTGAGAATTTAGTATTACATTAGAATCAGTTTCATTACTTACTGCTATCATATTAGTTTTCATTTTATCCTTCAATTTATCTATAATAGATAAACCTTTTTTAGATGCATCCTTTTGCAATCTAATACCAATATTTTGAATAATTTCTTGCATTTTCCTCTTCCGTTCTAGCTGAATCTCCACTTCCGTCTTTTCCAATTCTGGAGGACAAACGAACACACTTAGATTTCCTGATGACAAACCTGAATCTGTATCCATCTGTGATGATTTTGTCTTTTCATCATTAATAGTCTGTACTTTGGAATGATCTTCTTCCTGTGGTTTAGCTTTAGGTATATCTTTTATTTTTTTATTTTCATCAGAAGTTTTATTGCTCTTTACCACTTCTATTTCAGTAATGTCATCATCTTTTTGTTCAGGCGGAATTTCTACATTTTTAATTGATTTCTCTACTTTTTCTGTTTTTTCTGCTTTTTCTGTTTTTTCTGCTTTTTCTGCTTTTTCTGCTTTTTCTGCTTTTTCTGCTTTTTCTGATTTTTCTGATTTTTCTGATTTTTCTGATTTTTCTGCTTTTTCTGCTTTTTCTGAACTTAGGTGAAGTACTTCCAATTTTATCTTTTTCTTTGGTACATCTACTTGTTCATCAGCTTCTTTTTTAACTGAATATAAAGACATGTTTATCTTAATAATCTTACCATTTGTGACATCTTTATGCCACAGATTAACATGTTCTTCCACATTGGACTTCTTTAATTGAACGTAATTACAATATGAACACAAATAACCATAAATGCCATTTTCGTCAGGTATTTCATGCTCAGTTATGGCGTCAGCGAAAGTATCTTTAAATTTACGGCATACTTTATAGTAATGGGTCCTCATGGAGGATTTGGCTACAGCTTGATAAGGGCAACTATTGCATTGAAATCTGTATTCTCCTGTGTGAGTGGTACAATGCTCATAAAATGCCTCCATTGCAACTTTGGCAGCGCCTTCGATAAACAAAGAGCAAAATCTACAACGAAATTTGCAAGTTTCCTCTGCAAGGGATTTCAATGATTCATCTTCTACGTTATTATCTTTTGCGTCTTGAATAGCTAATAAAGCATCCGAAATTTTTAATCTGGAAATCAGTATTTCTTTTCCAGGATGGTTTAATTTATAATGGTGAACAATATTTTTCCCTGTGAAGAAACAGAGTAAGCATTTGTACTTTTCTTGTCCTGTCCAAACATACTCGATTAATTGTTGTATATCCAAATCAGAAAAAGATTTATCCTGCTCGTCTTTATTCTTAATGACGTTTTTTTCGACATTACTGGCAAGTTTTTCATTACCTTTTTCATCTATAACATCATTAGCATCCGATAAATTTTCATTAACAACAGGTTTGCATAAAGATTCTTTTTTCTCGGTGGAATTACATGTTAACGATATCTCTTCTTTTTGGTCTTTTATTTTACCATGAAATATCGGACTGCAATTAGTACCTTTAACATCATCCGCGGATTTTTGTAGAATGCTCTGATTCGTATTGTTGGATGAATTACTTTCTTTGCTTCCTGTGTCTTTCGAAACTGAGTTACTAACCATTTTGATAGAAGTATCCATCTCAGAACTAGTATTAAGATCACAATCGCCCTTGGGAGAAGCTGTCTTTTTCCGTCTCTTTTTAGACAGGATACCCATCTGCCAATTAAATTTTTTCTTTTTCTTCTTCGTTGAAGATTTCTTTGTATTAGACTCAACCGGTAATTGATCGCTAACATCATCATCGACATCAGCATCACTTCCTTTGTCTACTATTGACGAATCCTTATCTATTACTGATGAATCCTTGTCTATTACTGATGAATCCTTGCCTATTACTGACGAATCCTTATCTATTACTGATGAATCCTTGTCTATTACTGACGAATTCTTATCTGTTACTGACGAATCCTTAGCTATTACTGACGAATCCTTAGCTATTACTGACGAATCCTTATCTATTATTGATGAATCCTTATCTACGTCATTCTTTATTGGTACTAATCCTACTAAAATGTTGCTCAAGAGCTTCTCATTTGCTCCTGTGTCTATTCGTGTTGAATTAGTACCTGCTTTCTTCCCCGAAGCTATGCTACTTGACATCGAAATATCGGAAGTAATACTTTCTTCATCTGTAAATTGGACATCGTCTTTACTTTCATTTGTCAGTTCAGTTCCCTTTTTCCTTGTAGACTTTCTAGAAGAAGTTTGGCTATACTTTTTCTTTTCTGTTGGTTCTGTAGGTTCGGATTCTGGCTGCTTATCTGGATGGAGCGAAATATCCACAGCTGCAGCCAATTCAGACACATCTATTCCAAAACTTTCATCAGATGAGCTATCAAACATTACCTTAGAACATTCCAACTTAGAAATATCTGTTTTCTCAACAACTACACGCGGTTCCTTTATCGCTTCCTTATTAATTATACGTTTACTCCGTCTTAATACCTCAGATTCATCAGTACATGGTTCTTGATTAGGCAGTGAACTGGGAATTTGAACTATTTCTGTTCTCAGTGCTAATGGCTGATCTTCTTCACTATCTGAACTCTGATTACACTGTTTTGAACGCTGCCGAGTGATTCGTTGTACTTCCTTCTTTGATTTACCTTTGGGTTTACTTGATTCCTCAGAAACACGTGATTTTGTAGGTTTCTTTTGTTTGGTTGAAACTACTAGTATATCTTCTACTTCAATCTCTACATCCATATCACGTTTATTCGATTCGTCTTTCTTTGTAGTTGTAGCACTTTGATTAGAAGTGCTTGCACTGATATTATTTTGATTTTCTTTTTGTGTTCTACACAATCGATGGCCAGTTGCTGCTACAACACCATCACTGATAAACATTTCTCGAATATCTTCTTGCAACATTTCGAGAGAGTTTCTCCGCTTTGCTTTAATCTTTGGTGTTTTAGAAATAATTTCTTTATCTTCAGTTGATTCCTCCTTAATGATCTGCTTAGAAATTTCTAAGTCATTTCTTTCTTTTTCCATATTTGTTTTATTATTTGACTCCTTTTCTTGGACAGTGTCTTGACTTTTTACAGTTGAAGTATCTTCTTGCATAGCAGAATTTTTAGATTCTAGTTCCTTTTCCGGAGGATTAGGAGAGACGATATTTGTAGTTATTTTTTCCACATTTTTGTTTACTTCTTCTTTTTGGTCATTTACTGATGTATCTTGAGTTAATTCTTTATTTGATGTATTTAGTACGCCAAGTCTTTCAGCTAGAGACTCTTCATCAGAACTGTCCGAAACAATTACTCGACGTTTTTTCCTCGTCTGAATCTTTTTTGTCTCGGGAGTATCATCCTTCTCCGAACTACTACTCTCCGACTCGGATTCAATTATTTTCTTGATTTTTTTCAGCTTCTTTGCTTGTAATACTTCACCCAGTTTCTGCATGAATTTTGCTTGTTCAACAAACTTCTTTCCTTCACCAAATTCAAAGGACTTTTTGATTAAAGCTTCTATCCATTCCTGAGTTACCTCATCCTTCGACTTGGATCCTTCAGATTCCATTTCCTCTTTTTTAGGCTTTTCGGCATTAACGGATGATTTGGAAGAAGTAGTACTTATAGTATTTGGCTCACCAATATTCATATTATTTTTGTCATTTACAGATTCTCCAGCGATGTTTTCTTCTTTAAGTTCTTCCTTTTTGTCAGCAATATTACTTTCGTTCCAATTTTCAAGTGTAACATTTCCATCACTGCTACTGCTCACTTCTGCAGTAGTATCTTCTTTATCTTTCTTAATTTTACTTTCCTGCTTTTCCGGAGGAGACTCTTTAGTTTCTTCAGAGATGTGACTCGACGTAGGTGATTCCGAAGATTCGTTACGTTTTATTTTAGGTATCTTGAAGTTTTGTAAACAATATCCTTGCGCAGATTTCGCTTTTGTGTCGATGACTCCATACAAACTCTCCAAAGGTGACTGCATTTTGTCCTTTGATGTCTTTTCTTGTGTTTGCTTATTACTGCACTCCGAATCCATACGTTTATGACTATCTGTTGGTTTTGGCGGTGATTTAGGTTTATCTTTGCCCTTTCTGAACGATGATGCTACAAAAGTCGGTGCCGTAGAACGTTTTCTAGGATCTCTCTCATTAAAATTACTATCTTTGCCTTTGGTAGTGGAAAAATGCTTATCCTTAGCCAATCGAGGATCTCTCACTGAAGTGCCGTTATCTCTTGTTTGGTTGGGACTCTGATTCATTATGTTGTGCTCTATGCGAACCCGTGGGTCGCGATCGGATATGTTTCTGGCATCCCTGCCGAACCGATTACAATTGTCCCATTCATTATGATTGTCTCTAGACCACTCGGGTCTACGAGTATCACGATTGAAACTGTTCCTGGGTTCCCCTCTATTTCTTTCATTGTAAAACGTGTTACGACCTCTACCTACATTACGATCCCTATCTCTGTTCCAAGGACAGGGTGTACTAGGCCTCGGATAAGGCCCTGGAGGACCATCTGAAGGCCCCATCACCCCACAAGGAACTTCATTCTCTGCTCTGTAGGGTACATCATTTGGCCGATTAACTGGAGAATCCCATGGCTGCCTCTGATGAGGATATTCCATCCCTCTATCAAAAGGCGGGTCATAAGGCCTATTTTCGCTCTGAAAATTCCTGTACTGTGGCCCAACAGGAAATCTTGTAGGCGAAATTAAAGGCTGTATAGTTGGTACATTAGGTACATCGACATTGGGCACATCGTCCGATCGTGCAATATGATTCATATCTTGAGGTCTCGTGTTTGGACTCATTAAAGGTCTGATACCAGTATTCATATTCGAAGAGAACTGATTAGACCTCAACTGACTCTCGTTCATTTGATGAGGGTCTAAATGAATAGATTCTCTGTTGGGACCTACATTCCACATCTCCTGATGCATGCCCATTGAATGTTGGTACGTTTGGGCAGGAGAATTGGGCATACCACTAAAATTGGAAGGCGGTGGCCACTGATTGTTACAAAAATCGTTCGATGGATGCATAGAGGTCCAATGCCCTGGATTCGGTATTTGCCTGTTAAAGTATTCAGGACCATCCATTCTGAATTCCGTATCTATTCTAGGCGGTATCATTTCGGGACCAATGTTTCCCTGACGTCTTTGATATAACACAGGATTTCTATCATCCGGTTTTAACGAACCGCCATGATGTATAGGGACCTGATTGGACATATCATCATCAGGTCGACAATGCATGCCGTGCATGATAGATTTGTCTTTATCATGGAGTTGATCACGTAACTGGCGAGGATGTCGCTCGTAGTTATCCGCGAAACGAAGTTCGGTTTTGGAACCAGGAGAAGGTGGTCGATTTCTGTTATCAACCAACGTATTCGTCATAAACGAACTAGAGCCGTGACCTACAGTAACTTGACTTGGTCCCTTGGTTTCATTAGATTTTAGAGCTTCCACTTTTGTCATTAAAGTAGCACTTGAACCACTGGGTAGACATTTCCTACTAGTTAACTTAACTATATGCTTGTCTATTTCCTCCCAACGTCTCTCGCTTTCGCTATCAATATCTTCTTGCGACAATAAAAATGATTTGGACGCCTTTGTATCTTTGTTATTTGCACTTAACGCATTCAATTCCAGTTTATCCTTTTTAAACTTGCCTAAATCCTCCCTTGATCTATCGCCCTTCTTCTCCATCTTGTTGTCATCTTCCTCGTTCAACAGCTCCGCCAAATCTTCCATAGACAATGGCGGTTCCGTAAAAACAGGAGGCGGTGAAAGTAACAATGGTGCAGATGGCTTTGAACCAGGTCTTGAAATCGTATCCTTTAGTCTCAGTGGTGCGTTCTTATAGATTTTTGGAAACAAGATTTCCGAGTCTGGTGACTTTAACCTTGCATCAGACACGTTTACCGGTAATTCCGAGCTAGAATCTGATGGAACCTGGTCTATATTCATTCCCATTAACCGATTCTTTTCCAACATCGATGATAATCTCCTAGAACCTCCCAAGGAGGGAACTGACACTGTCGGTACTTGCCGAGAAGAGTGCATTGGTATTGATACGTGAGTTCTCCCATCATTTATCTTTTGAGATAAATTATTTCCGACCATTTTGGCCGCGGAGGCCACGTCATGATTAGAAGTAATGATAGTCTGCCAATTTTTATTTCTTGACATTTGATTTTCATTTTCTTCGAGCATTTCCCATTCAGTGAACGACATATCGTCTGTATTCTTGCACAAACCACGCTGCGGAGAGAGAGTAAGATCATTGCTCGTCCTCTCTGTAGGTATGATAATGGGTGCTTTCGTTGGCAGAGTTTCTATAGGATCGGGAGAAGCTGGTTTGCTGTCAGATTTGTCATCGAAATCGATGCTACGTTCAGTAGGAATTATTATCGGTGCAACTTGTGAACCTGAGTCTGGGCTAACTGGGGGACTCGGACTGGCCGGCGTCTCGTGAATTTCTCGGTCCTCCATTGCGTCTTCTGTATGTTGAGGCTTTACGTCTTCAGGCATGCTGAAAGGGATTCAATCGACGTTTTACACGGAGCAATACAAAATTTACGGTTAGATTATTTCGAGGTGTTTGTTTTATAACAAATAGCAGTACAATTAAATCTTTTCTTAGCAGTATGTTCAAATTAAGCTTTTTGATTGTAGAAATACTACTAAGCTCAATTCGCGAACAACACTGCTTTACAAAATTAAGCAAAGTATTCATTTTAAACATTCATGGTAAGATTTCATTTTAAAAATACATCGACATTTATGTATAACAATGAACATAGATCCATGAGTAGAGACTTCCTGAATCAATTTTTGTACAAGTAGGTTTTGAGTATAATCAACGCGATACTTACTTTGAAGATTGTGAAGAACTAGCATCATTTTTCTTGTGCGGAAAATGCAATCCGGGTGTATTTCCCTGAAACTCGTGTCAGATTAGAATGATTAAAATAAAAAAAACAATACATGCACTATGGAAGCCTGAAAACATCCAAAAGTATAAAGAATAGAAAATAAAGAGGGTTCCGAAGCAACTACGTTCATATAAAAAAAAAGACAAAAAGAAAATAATATCTATAAATTCAAAAAGAGATTTTCTTCAGCTACTGATTCTACAAGCATCCGCTAATGCTATACCTTTATCTATTTTACAGACAGGTTCTGACTATAAGTAATTTCTAGTAGCAGAATTTTTATATTATTAACTCCTTAAATTTTCTATACAATAAAATCGTGTAAATGGCATTAGAAAGGAGTAGTGTATGTAATACAACATAGAAACATTTAATAACAAATATATAAATAAACGAGTAAAATAAACACCCAGTTTCTGCAGGTAAAAAATGAAAGATAAGGTGAACAATGCAACATTTACGATTTGCTCTATTTAAAGCACGTAGTGATATAATATTTGCTGTGTTTCGTGAAACGATATAAAAGAGCTGTTTCTCGAATCACTTTGCATTCATCTTACTCTTTTAACTCTAAATAGCTTGATACATCAATAAAAATCTAAAAACCAAATTCTTTGTATCATTGGTATATAGGATTTGTTAACTTTTAATGAAACTTACAAACATTCTCGTTTATATCTTTCATCTCTAAATATAGTGCAAACTAGTATTATACAGAGCATAAAGCCAAGTGTTATTTTTTGGTTCACTGAACTTCTGATCTAAGTAATAAATTTAATTATAAATAATCTTGCTCTTGAATAGTTAAATAAATAATTCAGTGTACCACAGCAAGAGTATATTATAATGTTTAATATATCTACCTTTTCTACTTTGTTATGCAACTTCTGCAGAACGTCTTCGCATCGCTGCAATGTCTCGATCTTCAGCCTATTTCATCGATAACACAGTATTATTAATTACATTTCGTATTGTATCTTTTCTTTCTTATACATATCATTAAAATTGGTTACAAGGTATCATACTTCTCGGCATGATTTGCAATAATAAATTAATTACAGTATCACATAGCAAAAGATATAGATAGCAATAAGTCACACTCTATATGAAAGTGAAGGAAAATTTGAGTTAATTTGAAAATTAAAGAATATGTAAATTCAGAAATGCAAAATTAAACAAATTCTACGTCACTCTCGTTCTGTATTTTAAATTTTAAATTTCAGCGCGTGGACACTGAATGTCATCAACAAACGTTGCGTTGACTAAAAGCGAGTGTTTTATTTTATGCATGTCCAAACACATGCGAAACATACTTTCTCTTGCTGTTCGATAGGATCCCGTGTAGGCTTTGCATTTTCTGCAGCTGAATTTCTCGCGATTTGTCCTTAACGTTTTGCAATCGCTCTATCATCGCTTCCAAAAACGGAATGTACTTTTGCATCTCAGCGAATTTCTTATCATACTCGTCCATCTCGCTTGTTGTATATCGCTCACCTGTACCGGGAGAAGAAAATCTTTATACTTACAAATATTTCTCGATAGTACATACTTATTACATCATTTGTTTTTCCCGCCTACTTTTCTAAATATTCGCAATTCAATTGAACTTTATTAATTTAATTCAATTTTTATTTTGGTCTCGATAATAATTCGTGTCTCATCTGTTAACGTGTTATAATTTATTGCTTAATGCTTCCCCACAATATGTCCAGTTTAAATGTATGAGATATTTTGCTTATTATATTTTGCTATTTATATTACAATCACAGTATTTTCTTTCTCTCTTTCTTTCCCATTCCATTTCTACGCAATATATTTCAACAATTTGAAATTTGTACGTTTAGAAAAGAAATTAAAAATGTTACTTTCAATAATGATTCAAAAATTGATGCAATAACTTAATACTGTACTTAACCGCCATACTTAACTCAAAAGACATCAAATACCGGTTCAAACTATATACTTGTGTCTATACCGATAACTATATACCGGTTCAAACTATATACTTTAAAAATACTTAAACAAATAAATACATTTAAACAGAACATATTGTACAATATATCAATATAATAAACTATAAAAGTAACATTTTTGAAATATAAAATAATTAAAAATATACGTGATATTTTGTATTTTTTCGTTTAACAAATAAATAACTTTGATCATCCTTGAACCGCTTAACTCCGTCTGTATTTACTGTCAGTTTCTACATTCTTTCAATATTATAATCTGATCCACCATGTAATATTATCCTTCCTTGTTATTAGCTAATATTTCATTCTAAGCAAAAAGTGACACTTTGTATACGTACTACTCTATCCATTTCAACCTGAATTATAATTCAATTTTGTTCTTTGCAAAATCAAAATGTTATTGTGTTTATCACTCAGGAATGTCAGTCGTACATTATTTTCATTTTAACTCGTTACTACCCACGGACACTTTCACAGGTAATCAATAACGGGAATAATGAACGACACATTGCATAAAATGCGTATGTGTAAAAGAAAGAAGTGTAGCGATTCGTATGTACCAGTTTATTCTCGTATACTATGAAATATGTTACTTATACAGACATTATAACATACAATTTCAATTATATTTATCAATAAAATGCCCAACTTAAATAATCGCGTTCAATTAATTGCACATCACCGTTTTACCGACGATCAAGCCCGCCGGAAACATAGTAACTTGGAATATGATATACCTTCGTAGAACATGTGACAATACACGACGAGGAAATTATTTCATATCACATTTATGCATTTCACTTTAACTTTTTTTTTAAATGTAGTCTTCACATAATTCACAACACTATTAACGATAAAAAAAAACTCAAGATCACTTTTCAAATTATAAACAACTCGAAATGATAGAGAAAAATTATCAATTTCTTGTATTCAACGAATTTCATCGAGAACATAATTGTGCAGTTGGACAGAAAATTGACGATTAATTCAAACGAGCGTCATTCGTAAATTTTACGATGTTTACGCTTATAAATTGCAATGGACATGCGTACTAGGGCTTCAGTGACAAATTTATAATTCCAGTCACATTTTATATCTTTAGCAAAATGAAATTAATTTTTAAATCGATGCTCTTTCTTTCACCACATTCTCTTTGTGTAATGTCAAATCAACATTCGAGTTATTCAAAATTAACACACTTGTATACACTAGTCTAAAAATAATAGAAAACTTGATCACAAGGAACACTGATGAAAACACAGTCAATGGATAAATGCATTGCACCTACGTGTCAGGTTGGGATTTCACTGGATTTTCGAGGTACGCAAGCAATGGTACGAACGTACTATTCGCTGACAGCAAATCACACCGAAACTGAAAGACCCAATCAGCTTCCTTTGAACGGATCACCTTTTGGTGACGGTTATACGATTAAGCTTATTTTAAGTAGTTATTAATATGGTTTCATACGTACCGAATTTTATAACTGTATCCTACCGTACGCCTGAACGCATATTTATAACGAATTTAACAGAATGGATAAGAAACATCTTAGGAAGACATTTCTCTTGTTACATTTTCCTTCGTACCCAGCATGCGTAGTTTCTCCATCATCGAAAGAGAGAGGAAGTAGATGGAAGCACAATCGAAAAGATTTGAAATCATCGGTAGATAGCAGTGCAGTAGCAAACATGGCGACCGAACGATATTCTACGATATTGTTCGGTATAATTCTGTTTTACTTAAGATTTTTGAGGACATGTTATTAAAAGCTATAATAATATTCTATGACTATAGAATGATTACAATGATATTAGGTTGGCATAATTTTACATGATGATCATAAGTTGAAACTTATTTGACTTATTTGAAAGTATTTGATTGTATTGATAACTTATTGTAACATATTTTAAAATCGTACATATAAGAACGATTCTTCGAAGAATATAATTTTATACAAATCTCTGAATTGTACTATGTAATCATGACTAATGTAATATATCATTAATATAATGATATAATATTTTAATGTTAATACATAAAACATTCATATCAAATTAAGGGTAATACTAATAAAAAATTTGGAAGAATAACAATGTAGTTGTTACTATAGTATGCTAACGATAATTAGAACCACAACATTTAATTCGTGATGAAATGAATATATAATAAGGCGTATGTCCATTCTTTCGACGTAGTATTGTACGCAACTGCTTTAAATAATGCAATAATTCAACAACAATTATGTAAATTAGACCTTATTAAGTACAGTGCAATAAATAACTAAAAAATATCATATTCCTGAAACCTATTATAAAAAATGACAGAAAAAAAATAGAACTAGAATAATTTTGAAGAAATAAAACTTGTTTACACTGAACTTTGTATTTTTGTAAAAATCTACATATATAGTTCAAATACCGAACGTTCTTATATGTAAAAAGTAGATTATAGTTCACATTCACAAGTCGTCATGACCTTTCTCTTTCGAATTGCTCTTCTATCTATGACTTCATTTTTCTTTTTCTGACGCCTTCGCTTTTTATCGATATTGACTTCCCAGATGATAACTAAGTTATGAAATGGATATCACTTTCTATCAACAATAATTTTTTTATATAATTATTTTCTGCTCTAGAATTATTATATGTACTTGTAAATATTAAAAATTTTATAATTCAAACCATATAGAATATAATATTCATTCTACTGCATTTAATAATCACTGTGTAATTTTCTATAAAAAATGCAATATTTTTCCCAATAAAGTTTTTTCTATTTCACTATGATTATGAGCTACGCATTTCTTAACGTATAAAGAATAGATTCTTTGTCTGCGACGACACACCTGATAAAACATTACACAGCAGAAAATCGCCGTATGCATTGATCTTCTCTTGCCGTTTGCCTTTTGATCTTGCGTTTCGAAATCTCGACACAGCAACCCGACTGAACAAAAGTGCAAAATCCCGAGTTCCCGTCGTTAATGCACGTTTACGTGCACGCACTACATGGAATCGCTTAACTCTCTCACAATGTCGCAGTTACGTTGGAACTGACACTTTTTTTCCAAGTTCTGCAGCGCGCTCTATAATTTTGTATCACGAGCTAGAGAACTAGACTATTACGATGAATATTTAAGCATCAAAAGTACTGATTCGGCGTACTAGCAGCTTAATTATCGGATAAAACGTCACTTCCTACAACGCACGCACAAGCACATTTATTCCATAACCACCTTTCGACGTTCCTGAAAAGATGTACTCGAATCAGCTTTTAGAATCGCATATAGAGGTATCTCTAAATCGTCCACACTATCCCAGGTGTTTGATATTACAACAAATTTGTCTTCATCTAACTTGTAATTGTGGCTATGTCCTCAACGTTAAATTTCATTTTAGACCTTGTTACGGTTCTATATACAAAATTTATTTTAATTTATCGAACAGTTTTGTTAACACCGGTACACGTTCCTCAAAAGTCTTGATGCACTTCGAAATATCACCGAGACTTCAGACGAACTCTGTTTTTCGGTCCACAATAATTCATCGTAGTGATTCATCATTCATTTCCGAACATACATACACATTGTAAATATGAGAGACATTTGACACGCAACTATTGTTCTACGTATCACAGATGAATAGCGCGACTGTACGAGGGAAATTAAATTCTTTTTAGATATCGTGAAAACAATTTTCTTAACATACTGGAAAATGGATTACCCTTCATTAGAAGGCATATCTTAATAATTACTATCGCACTGCTTACGAAGAAACGAACGAAATGGCAACCCTGAAGGGCGCGCGACATACAATGGCTGCCATTAATGGCGCTAGGCTAAATGATTTCACGTGGTTCTGTCAATACATCTTCCGCCATATGTTACTTACCTTCTATCACGTCGATATACTTACGGCATAAACTTGGTATTTTTTTTTTCTAGGAAAATTATTTACGCTAATAAAATGATACATTCAATACATATAATAACTTTAATCGAGCAACGAAATAGTTTTTATTGTTTTATCAAATTAATTTTGTATAGGACACAACACAATATCAATTACATGTTTTTCGGAAAATCAATAATTTCGACTGTTAATAATACGTCGCGTAGTTTAAGATTCTAAAAATAAACGAATATCACACAAGTGTAGTGCAATTTTGATAATTTTCTGTACATTACACTTACTGGCGATTATTATCTAAATGATAAAATAAATATTAAAAAATAAATATATGTACGTAATATTTATTGTGTGGAAATCAGTTTTAAAACAGGATTTGTGAAGGTAAAAATGCGTTCGAAACTTTTTTCTTTGAATATAAAATCTGGTATAAGTGTTTTAATTACTCTTTTAATGACTCCTTAAGATTTTCACCAAATTTCAATGTTCCAGAATTAATTGAAGATATTATTTAATCCAAGTTTTGTGTATATTTATGATTTACGTATCCGATAATTGTATATTCCAAAGGATGAAAGAAAGCACCTTCAACTATGGAGGTCCGCCATTTACAACTCGTATATTTCTTCTACTATCCACTTGGTAAGTTCGAGAATTCTCGATGGCGAGAAACGAGTTTAAGCGGAAACAGCCGAAGTTCTTACATCAGATTCGATCATTTAGTTGCAGTTTGTATAGATACATACTACATGACTAATAATAGAATTAGCAATGTCGTAACAAATGAAAATAAATAAGCATTATTGTTATAAAAAAAAATATAGAATTCAATCAAAAAAATATTCTAAAAATGATATTTACATTCATGCACAAATATAATTTTTTCTTTTTTGTGATAATAATTTCAAAAAATAAATAAAAAAATTTTTAAAAAGTCCATTTGCTCCATGTATAAATCTAATATTTAAATTAAATTTAATACATAAAAACTATATATTACATGATCTACTTTATAATTATTAAGGTTTCAGTTGATTTCATAATAAAATACACCAAGAAAATTCTGGATTTTAGTTATCACTATATTAATTTCAATTCATTTTAGTAAATAAATGAAATGACTAAAATTACAATTACAATTCTTTGTATTTATTTGTGACGTTTTTCTCGATTTCACATAATGTAATATTTAGTAACTTTATTTACAAATTATCAGTCCAATACATGGACTAATAAGCTTTAGTTTACTTAGGATTTGAATTATTTACAAAAATTTTCGAGTTACGAAACAACCTTCAAATCCGCGAATTCACGGAATAAATTTCTTTCGCAGTACTATAATCAATAAAGCGCAAATCACTATTATCTTTTCTTTTATTTTTAAAAAAGTGAATTAAAAGTTCTTTACAATTTTGTAAGAAACATTTTCCACCAAATATTGGTCAAGCGTTACTATTCTTATAAATGAATCTAACATAAATGCAATTTCCCTCATGAAGAACATCTCGTTTAAATCGTTCTTATTGTGTATGTATATGTATATATACACACACGACACACACGTTTTTTGATAGATTTCAATTGTATAGCCTCTCTTAAGGCAACAATATTATCTGAAAGTGATATTTGAGAACAAATGTCACTGCCTCTTTCTTTTTCTGATACCTAATACTAATACATTTGTTGCTGGCAGTACTTGTAGTAATTACATTCCCGGTAAATAATTTCCAATGAATTTGTCTTTTATGTAGCGCAGTTTTGCATAATTATGGACACGTTATATAAGTTTAGACATGAACAGAGATTGATCGGATAATTAAAAATTAAATCTGAACATTACACACCTTCGTCGTGTCGAGAAACATTCGAACAATGAAAATATTAAAAATTAGATCTTTAACTATACTGGATAAGATAATATATTACATGTTCGAATAATTTTTTTGTAATGAAATGAGGATTATATATTTAGAAAGCTCCGAACAGTTTTAGCATTTCCCACGGATTATATAATTGTTTGCAGTACTGCTGCAGTATACAAACTCTTGTGTTACTTTTCAAAATTTGTCATTTGCATCCATTATTTTATAATAAACTCAAAATATTTTACGCTTCCGAATTATTTTTGTAATCAACATTTAGGGTACAATTACATGATTGCACGATATATTTTCAGAAATATATTCATTATTATGAAGTTGCACTCATTTGCAAAACAAATTAACAAAACTTTATTAAAAAAAATTCCGAAAATACTTTAGACACATAAAAGATGGAATCAGTAAATCCAAATATGGAAATTAATTTTATTAAATAGTTTTGTAAAACAAGGTGTTGATTTAACAGATATTTATGAATTATGTAATTCAATAAATTATTTTATATGTGTAAACACGAAATTAAATTTAGAAAAATATTTTCTATTCATTAATAGAAAGTCAAGCTTTTTAATATCTTTAATGGATTCGAAAATACAAGTAATTGTATTATTCTTAAATTAATAGAAAATACAATTTCATACAATTGCTACGAGTTTTGGATATTGATTAATTATCAACCAAGTAACAAATTGGATCAAAAATGTAAAAAGAAAGAACAAGTTTTTGTATTATTATCATTGATGCTATAGGTTAAATATAAATATGATTGTACAAAAAATGTAATCACAAAAATAACGAGTTAATTATAAAGCAAACATATATTGGCAGCAATATCGATATGAAATCTTTTCAATTTGTAAAGTGTTTTATTTTGTCCCTCTATAATCGGTGGAATGTTCTTTCTATTTCAAGAATAATCACTTTCTTTCCCTTAACTTCCAATAAATTGTGCAAACGCTTTTTCTATCTATTTGCCAAGGCTGCATTTGGAATTACTTTGCTCTAACTTTCGCTTTCGAACATGATAATAACACTGTATCCTCACACTTCTACAAAGTATATATTATATATGTATTTTCTTAATATATGCAAGATTTGATGAGTAACTTGCTCTCGTTTCATTATCGTATGTACATTCTGTTCATACGATCATACTGTCCATAATAGTATAAGTAGAATATAATATAAGACACTTTTCTTTGTATATGTAACTGTATTCGTGGGTGCTGCAATTTGCAACTTTCTTAAGGTTTTGACCATTAATATTTACCAAAAGAACTTTGTAAATTTGACGGTAAAATAAATGGTCGGAAAATATTGCCAAATCAATAAAATTGCAGCTCGGTAACAAGTTGTATAATATGGATTTGATAATAAATAGTTCTTCAAATAGAACCATGGCTACACCATAATTTATAAATAAAAACTTGCTGTCCATACTTAGGCAAACAATTTCTGCTTTACTGCCACTTAGAACTATGCATAGTGAAATAGTATTTTACTTCCTCATAGTCAATAGTAAGAATTTTTATAATTGGATTCAGTCTTATAAGCAATAAATCTTTTTTTCACAGAAAGATGTTCAATGAGATTTGCTTTTAAATGGCTTATTTTCTTTTAATTATTTTCGATTCTACATATATCATTATTCAATTTTCCTCTGTAGATTTGTAGCTTTTTAGTTATTGCTCTTTATAAAATTTATTACAAATAATCCGTAAGATACTTGAAAAGAAAAATAAAAAGAAAATACTGCTCAACTGATCTGTATTGTGTCCAAAAATGTCTCTTACCAAAGTGGGTATTACTTTGTTAAACCTTGCCTCCATTAAGGTTTATTATCTAAACGACTTTGTATACGCAAGCAGGATTTTGGATACTTTACTGAAATGGATTTCTTTTTAATAGAAGTGAATCTTCATACTGACACTTTAATATGAAAAGCCATCTAATTTAAAAGATGTAGGTTGTTAGAGCAACAATTGCGCCGATGGGATCCTGTGCTTGCAATTAAACGGATGAAAAGGTACTATATAAATCTAATTATGCACTGTAGTTGATGCATGTTGAAGTCTTTCTAATTCTTCCAACGATAAAACGTTTGTCTGGACAAGCTCTGGTAGCTTACCAGCTCGAGCTTGAGCAAGAAGTTCTGGACTAAACCATCGTGCCAACTGATTTGAAGTCGGTGAAAAATCTCCACCATTGCTACCTACGTATCCTAAACCTGGTGACGCTTGTCGACCTACGGGTATGTTCAATTGTTGCGACCGCATTACTCGCCCATCTGTGAAAAATATTTGATAAATTAATTCATAGTGCTCATTTTTGTAAAAGAAAATTCTGTATATCAAAAAATATAATGCCATAATGCTTTGCATTTTATTTTTGAAATAAAAATATTAATTAGATATTTAATACAATAACTTATATAATTAGAATAAAAGACAGCCTAAAGTAAACGTTAGTTGATTACTTTAAGTTTGATCCAAAGATAAATGCTGTCTAGACTGGTTTAAATAAGAGAAACAGCTAAAATGTGAGATCTAATTATTCCAATTTCTGAACACCATTGCATGCAATTTGATTAGACAAGAGGCAGACACCTGAAAATATTTTAGAATAACAAAATTAATGCAATAGTTTTAAAATGAGGAAATAACCTGTGATTTTAGTACAACATAAAATTACACTAATAAGATAAAAAATATTTCTATATTGTCGAATTTCCATTTCAATTTATATAAATCTATATATATGAATTATAATTACCTGCACGACTTGAGTTGTAGTTTTGATTTAAGACCATTTGCATTTGTGAGTTAAGAATCCGCTGTTGTTGAGGTGGTTGATGTTGCATGTTAACTAGATGTGATGGGGCTTGCTGTACCTTCATTTGATTATTCATACTATTTGACCTCTGATTTATAACTGAATTCTGAGCAACATTGTACTGTGGAACATTATGGTGTGGTATGGAACTAGTCATAGTATGTTTAGAGCGTGCAGGATTACCGTACACGCTTGAAATTGTTCTATGCTGCTGCTGTTGTTGTTGTTGTTGTTGCTGCTGTTGTTGCTGCTGCTGCTGTTGCTGCTGCTGCTGCTGCTTTTGTTGGAAATCTGAATTTCCACTGTATTGGAATTGATTACCACCGTTGCCGCCGCCACCACCACCGCCACCACCTTTCACTATCGCTCGACCTACAATAATTAATAAATATAGAGACTTCATATATTGATTGTGACAAACTTAGTACAACTTACGACTATACAACGTGGAAAAAGACTTAAATGTGATGTACAATTTATATTTGACATACCTAGATGTTGTTTCATAGTGGGATTTGTCCATGTAGATCGAATAGACTGTGCCCGCAAGGAATTGTGCCGAGAAAGAATTCCTTGTGTCAATAATTGAACTGCAGATTGCATTTGTTGTATTTGCGATGTCTGTGATTGAGCTGCCAATTTCGATGGATCGTTACTATTGCCTATATAAAAATAGAGAAAAAGTTAAATAAAATTACGAACATATATTATCGTTTCTTTACTATATACTATTGTACATGTACAAACTGATAAAGAACTATGTTTTATTACGATTTTATAATACATATAATATATATTAATATGTAATAAAACATGTGATTCAAAACGTATTTTATTAAGCTAAGATTATAACGATTGTTTTATTTTCAGATTCATTAACAAATGGAATGAAACAACAAGTAAGGATTAGAGAAAAAAATGTTAATATACTTAATTTCTTTTACTTCAATTTATATATGAAATTAAAAAAAAAAAAAAAAAAAAATATTTTATAACTTAACACAAATATTGTTATTTTAATACATGCAATTCCCTTATCCATATAAAAGTTCTAAAATTCAAACGCATGCATCAAAATTTAAAATTATTTCAAAGCATTCCATTCAAGGAAAAATGAAAATGTGTAAAGGAAAACTTAAATCATGAAATATATTTATAAAGGCGTTTTATTATAAAACTATTTCAACATACTTTTCTCTCGTAATACGTTCATATGTCGATCTATGTACGAAAATCTAATTTATAGTTTTAATTTTTTTCTTTTTTCTTTTTTTTTTTTTTTTTTTGATACGGTTAATATTTATATTCAAAATTAAAAGATTTTTCTGATGTATAATTTGCAAAAAATTGCAGACAAATTAAATTTCAAACACATTAAAGGTGTCGAGCAAAAAGAAAGAAAAGAAAACAAAATTATCATTCCTCATTTTAATACAAAAATAAAAAAATAATTTTACATCGGATAATAGTCACAAACTTATGAATCATTTTTATATATGAAATTCACGAAATATCTAATGGTTTAAATCACAACTTTATCATTCTGTAAAATAAGTATCTTGTTTTCCTTTATTTTTCCTACTGTATTATTATTGTCGACTATTATCATTTCGATTTCGAACTGTTCTGTTAATATCTTGTCAAAAATAAGAAGACTAATATATATAGTATCATTTATGCTTCTTGCATTGATGATTCTTTGTAAATATTTTCGTTCAACGAGTTTTTAATTTCGTAAGTAACCTTGTTCTCCTCTACCGTATTCAAATTCGAATTATTATTCTTATCTTTTTGTTGTTGCAAAGAAGAAAAGTATTTATCTTTTAACGCGGATTCTTCTATCTCTAAGTTATTATTGTTATTATTATTCAATTCATGTAAATTTCTCGATGCGTCAATTCCAGATATACTACCATGCTTTCTATGATTAATAAGCTGAATTGTATTATCACAAAAGGTAAATTGTTGGGTGTAAATTTTCTTGGAAGTAAATGTGTTATATGTGTTATTACGATTTTCATTGATTATAGATGAAAATACGTAATTCGATTCTAATTGATGATTAGACTGATTCGCACCCTCGGGTTCCTTGTCGGCAGTCATTTTACGTAACACTGATGTCGGGGTAAAAGCAAGTGGTGTTGGACTCATGGTCTGCTTCGCCGGTGAATTAACAGGACTTTGTTGAGCTTGTTGCTGTTGTTGTTGTTGCTGCTGCTGTTGTTGATCCGGTCGTTTCCAGAAATTTTCACACTGTTCCTCCATTTTTTGCTTAATTAAAGCACTTTGCATTATAGACTGAGCATGCATAACAATCTCCCGCGGTGAAGGAACCCTATGCTGTAGCACTGTTAAAATAATAAAAAATCAAGCTTGTTTTAAAGACAGATTGTTATATCGACACTTTATTAGATCTTTAAAGAGTTTTTCCAAAAAGCAAAGTTATAACTGCTTTGAAATAATTTACACTTTATTAAAATATTTAGTCACTCTTCTGTTGTTCTTGTATATTGGTTAATTGTTATTAAATTACAGCCAAATTTTATTTGTTCAGTAACAGAATAAAGCCGTAAAATGAAAGAAACTATTATTACTTTGATGATCTACCTGGGTGCTGTACTGTTAATGTACTGGGGCTAGCGGTCAAATTTGGATATATTACTGAAGGTAGACAATAAGCTGCATCCCAAACCACACCATAGATATTTATACTATAACTTTATAATATCCTTAATAAAAAAATATATATACTTAATAGTGAAAATAGTTCAGAATTGATCAAATATAACTTTTATATCGATTACAATTAAAATTATAAAATTACGATTGAAATAATTAAGAAAAAAAGTTTAGAAAATTAAAAAATTTTTTTTTTAAATTTCATAGATAATAAAATTTGAAATAAAACGAATAAATCAATAATTTTACTAACAAGGATATGTATAAAAGTAAGGAAAATAAACCCCTTTGCTATGAATTTTATACAAATACATAAAAGTATAACTTACTATTGTTCATAGGAGATGGAATCCTTTGTTGCTGTTGTTGATACAACATCTGTTGCAGAATATGATCTTGAGGAGTAGGCGCACTAGGATGCGGACTTATTGTACGTGGCGTAGTGCCACCGTACATTTTCAAAATAGTTACTAGAACTTCTCTGTGACGATGCTGCATGGCTGGATTCTATTTCATACATTATTATAGTAACTTAGCATATCGAAATCATCAGATTCGAAAGTCAATTTATATTTTAGATCAACAAGCAAACCTGTAGTTGTTGCACAAGATGCTGTCTAGTTATCTCTCCTTGCTGCAAACCTTGAATAATTGCTTGTGCTTCTGGTCTCTGAAGAAGCTCCTGACTTGTTGGAGCATTACTCAGCATCATTTGCATTTCTGGAGGAACAGGACTCATACCTAACATTCGTTGACCACCTATCATCATAGATAACATATCTGAATGTTGCTGCTGCTGTTGCTGTTGCTGCTGTTGCTGCTGCTGCTGGTGATGGTGTTGCTGTTGTTGTTTCTGTTGTTGCTGTAAAATTATTAAACATTTAGAAATATAATTTTTTTTCTTAATAAAAAAAATGTTGTTATTAACCTGTTGAATCTGTAATACTTTCATTAAATGCCCGTGCTGCATTTGTGTCTGATGTGGATGTTGAGTTGGTCCAAGAGAACCAACATGATTAAATGTTGTAGTATGCATCGTTTCTGAGACCGATTGCTGGGAAACAATTAGATGTGTTTTCAGTTGGGAGTTATGCAACTACAGAAAATTACAAATTATCCCGAATGAAAAATACTATGTAATTTCTATATCAAATAAAAAAAATCATGAAAAACTAGCTGCCTTACTTGCATTAACGTTACAGGTTGTTTTTGAGAAATAGGACCGTTTGCTGCTGGAATAGCCTGTCCTCCAGTCACTTGAGCAAGCTAAAATACAAACAATTTATATATAAGTATAAACAGGACAACATAACATCGTATGTATGTATGTATATATATAATCTTAATACATATTATAGTACCAATTTTTTAAACGCAGAGAGATCTTCTTCAGTCTTATTTACACGAGGTTGATCAGTTGAAGACATGGGTGGTGGAGCACCACCACGCATGCGAGCTTCTAATTCTTCAAGACTATGCACAACTTTTCCATCAACTTCTATAAAAAATTTTCAGTATCATACAATGTTTCATTGTATTCTACTATAATAACAAAAAATAAATTAATAATACAAATTCTCACCCATGTCTTTAATGGATGAACTTTTCATCATTGGTATAACAGTGCTAACTGCATCCCCTTGTCCATTCTGACTTGGTTTATTTCCACGTTGCAGCATTTCCAATAACTTCACACCAGTAGTGGCTGTGGTATTATTTGTTGTTGTCGTATTAGCAGGAGAAATAGGAGCAAAATATGTATTAGATTCTGTCACTGATGGGATTTGTATATTTGGCTCAGTGATATCATTAAGCAGATTATTTAATATGTCATCTTGTATAGAAGTTCTACGGCTATCTACTTGTTGAACCGGACTTTCCCTTTTAAACCACTGACTAAACCGGGAACAAGAACCTCCATTTGAACCGACTCCATTCTGTACATATAAAATGAAATTTAATATTTAATTATATCGTTTTATATACACTGAAAATAGAACTTACAGTTAAAAGTCCAGGTACACCAGAGAACGTGTCGGATTTTAAGAACTCATCGAGGTTAAAATCAGGATGACTATCCTCTTGATTTTGATTAGCAGTACTAGAATTATCCGTAGTTTCACAACTTTGTTCTGTCACAGTGCTTTCATTAGAGTCGTGATTGGTTTTTTGTACGAGAGACGACGATTTGTTCTGCTCTGAAATTGGAGAATGTGGCGCAGCTACGACGCTCATAGGTTGATCCATCGTAGTCGGTGTACTTCGCCCTTTCGGACCTGCTGAATTTTCGGTCTGTTTTTCATCTTTCTCTAATGAGTTCTTTTTCCCGCGTTTTTTCTGCACCGGCGTCTGTTTCTTATTTTTAATATTGCTATTATTGTTCACCACCTTCTCTTCGGGGATGTCTTCGAAACCTTTTAACTCGATAGTATCATGCTGGGATGTTGGTCCAGAACTAAACCATTCCGGTTCATCCATATCGTTACGATTTTCACTGTAAGTTCGCCTGCGATCATTACTGAATCTTCGTTCGCGCCCACGATCCTTATCACGTTCCGATTGATAATTACGATCATTCCGTTCAGTTGCTCTATCTCGATCACGTTCCCTTTCCCTATCACCATAATCACGACCAAAAGATCTTCGCTCTTCTTTCCCTCGCGTTTTCCCGATCCTTCCCATCACGACTATCTCTGTTGTCACGATCACGCATAGAAGTACCACCGCTTGTTCCAGACCGAAAAGCAGGTTCCAGTTTCTCATTCTCAGGTCTAAAGTCCCATATATCGCGAGTTAAAATTCTGCCACTTCCAATTCGTCGAACAGGTTCTCTATGGCTAACCTGTAAATTAATTTTTTGTCGCATATTTCATTTTTATTCTAGTAATTTCAATACTTTTCAATACCTTTCAATACCAATATCGACCAATATATATTGTTTTTAAATAAATTGATACTACCTCTGTCTTTCCTATTGGACTCTCAGGTCGTCGATTTGAAGGTTGAGTCACGTTGACAAAACAACCTGAATTAAAACTTCTACGTTGAGGACTCAATACTACGCTCAATATTTGTTCTTTACGAATTCGTTCCCGTGGATCCCCATTGCGACGTTTGTTATGACTTTCAGTAACTTGATCACCACGTCCAGTTTTTTCATCTTTCGGAGGTGTATCGCTTCGCTTATTACCCGAATGCCAACGTTCAGGATCCCATACACCACGTGAACTAATAGGAAAGAAAAAAGAAGAAAAGGATAGACGAATATAATATGCAAAGCAAAACATAAAAACAAGAAAAATAATATAAACAATAGAACTTCAAATATAATATAAAATATGTAATATATTATAAACATATAATGTAAAATATACTTGTTATATGAAGTATCTAAGAAATCAGGCCTCCTCTTAGATAATGGCAAACTCTTTATCAGCATCAGCTCTTCCTACAAATGAAATATTAAATTATTCTTTCATCAGGCTATTTTGCATCTTTTGAAAAAAAGATTTGATATGTAATTGTAAATGATACGGAATATTCCAGGGAGGAATATTTTGTAAATGAATAATAAAAATACATATCCTACCCGGGAATATTGGAATTGAGGTCTTGAACGGCCTACTTCCATAATTGAAGTGTCGGTTACCTCCCCAGCCACCGACATAGATATAATTGCTTCATCTCCTGAAAAACAGTTAAAATATAATAAGTACAACATTTTTATATTATGTGTACAGATATTTACTCCCGCAAAATATTGATAATAAGACGTTAATAGTATCCCATCACTTTGCATCGTGTACACGAGTAAAATTATATCAAGTACTAACACTTGTTGATATCATGGAGCTTCTAATTTTCCAGCAGTTAAAATATAGTACAATATGATATACTTAACGTAACAATCTACAGATTAGTTAACTGCTACTAAAAAAATCGCGTCTCTTCGATTTGTATACAAACTGTATATATGATAACGAACTTTAACTTCAACTATTGGCGTAGAACTTAACGAGGATTTGAACGCGTGGTTGATAGTTCCTTTCAACATCTAGTTCCGATATGAAATATCGGCTATATGTTACGGAAGTACTTACGAAAAATGACTCGTTTTATAGCATTGACAGATTTATTTTTGCGGAACCATCGGAAAGCTCTGGTTTGCATAAGCAGAGTCGCATCTAAGAGAGGGGATCCTGTAGGTCCTACCAGCGGACGTTTTCTTGGTCGTCGATACCAATTCGAGCTAATAACACCGCGTGTATCTAGCTTCATTTTAATAAAATTCTTTCAAATTTGTTGACTACTTTTATCGACACTCCTGGCTTCCTGGCCTCAACTGTATTGTATAGTCGAATAAATATTTATCAACGAAGGACGAGACGGACAGAGAATTATTGCTTCAGACCGATTACCAAAGAGACAAAAGAAAACGATGTAAAGTAAAATTATACGTTCAAATGTATAACTATTAGCAAAGAATACTATATTAATTTATACAGAGTATTCACTTTGTGAAAACAACCATGTTCGAAGTAACGAACAATATTATATATAATCTATAAAAATGTCGGAAACACACGATAACCGTGTACAATTATTTGCTATATTTCGATTAAATGATTCATATATTTTCACACTGTGAAACGAAGTCGCTATGATCCTAATAATTTTTGAAATCGTGTTTACGTCCATGTAACGCGCCTAAGAAATTATATTCTTAATTTTTATAGATACTACACGTCGTACAGCACGATACAAACTGACTACACACCAGCTGGTTTTTAGGCAGACAGAGTTTACAATCCAATCAAGTATGTCCCTGAGAACGTTATTGTCAACTTTATATCTTATTGGTTCTATTTGTGAGGTACGTTTAAATGTAATTTATAACTGATATTTCCTGAACAAATATTCAAATATTCAAATATATTGGTAAATATAAAAAGAAAAGAATGTAGCAAATACTTATTTAGCTGTAAACAGATTAATGCTGGAAATCACGATACTTATTAATATTTTTTTGAGTAACTTTTTTATGATGTTCAATACTTCAGAATTATATTGAATGAATTATAAAAATACTTCATATTTGAATTTATTATGTGTGTATCTACTATTATATTATTCTTTATAATTGCTTCTGAAATACATAAGGCAAGATTCTTAAGTTATTTAAAACATACATATAAATAACTTACTCTTCAAATCACAGATCATAAAATAAACATCGATACCTTTAATAGATATTTTGTCCCTCTGGATAATGTTCATTATTACATAATCACTTTACAAATAGTGCATCATTATTTGTCTATACATTTATTAAATGAAAAAAACTGTATGGTAAGTAAAACGACTAAACTTATTCTAACATTATTCCTATTATCTACTTTCAAATAAATAAGTAAGCAATATATAATGTTTTTATTAAAAACACAAGTTAAAAATAAAATACTTCTTAAATATTAAAATTATCAAGAGAAATTTTCCTTCCTCGTTTAACATATTTTATCAAAGAAATTACTGAGTATATATTTCTATGCTTAAAAAAGAACATTAATTGTAATAATTAATATATACTATGACAATTTTTAAAATTCAATTTCTTTAATTATATCTATAAACACTTGCCAATATTACCTTTCAAACAAACTTTTACATGAGTGGTTTATTAAAACATATACAGAATGTATAGAATGTATACTTCGTATATACATTAATAGTTTTATTAAAACATATGTACTAATAAACAATAGCAATACAAAAAATGTGATTGTATACACATTAAATAGAATATAATAACTTGAAAGAAATATGTATAATCTTTGGAAGAGAAGTAACAAAAATTACAAAGTATAAATATAACAATGCATATTTTATCATACTTCAGACATCTTATAATTTGACTTATTGTTTATGAACAATTAAAAAATTGATAATAAACATTGTACAAAATGTTGTATTCTGCAATGCAATAAACCTTACAAAAATACTACATACCAAAGTAGACAATACAGCTCATTTTAGTGTATTAAATTTAATAGACTATAATCAAATTTTGGATATTCATTTACGAAAGAAATCAAGCTTATAGTAGAAGATAGTATATAAGCGCGCGCGCGCATGTGTGGCATGCGACATACGTACATAGGTATATATATATATACATGCATATATATATAAACACACGCAAACACATACACACATATTATATGTATTATATGTATATACAATGTATATCATATATATAATATATATATATATACATATATAAAATTAACATAATACAAGGTAAACTTGTAGATCTCATACCTTTATTTTCAGGAGTTGGCAGTTGCTTGTCATTTGTCACAGATTCCTGAGACATTCTGCTCTTTACCACGTTTATTCCTTGAGTAAAGTAAATTCACAGCACACACTATACAGACTTTATTTTTTCTAGATCTTTTATGTGATCTACCTACGTCTCATACGCCATACATACGTATATCTAATTGTAGAGTTTATATTCTAGCTATATACCTTAGTACTGTTTAGTATCACAGACTGGTTTTCCCTTCTATATCTCAGTTTTATCTTTAAGCGAAGAAAGAATTCCGATCGGGCAAAACGATAGTAATGTCGATTGCCAGTAACAGTTCTAATACCGATGGCTCGGCCACTCTCACTCGTTGAAAAGAGAAATGAAGAAAAAGTGTTTACGTGCTACGAACTACGGGTTTACGCACGGTTATATAGAAGATAAACGCAAAAAAAATTAATTGCGTGAGATTCGAAGCACGTGTTCACGAATATCATTTCATTACATCGACACGTCCTCCATCAATTATTAATAATCCATCGATTTATCACACAAAATGTACACACACAACACTAGTTCACTGCTATACAAAAATAGAAAATGGCGCACGATCCCCACTTCCGCCGTTGTTTCTCACTGCTTCCTTGATCCACAACGGAGAGTGTTCTAGCTTGCTATAATCTTATAGATAGCACTACGTCATCTATACGTGCGAGTATTGCATTAATCGAGCGCCATCTTCTTAGGAATGTATTGGAAAGGAGCGTCCTCAAAATTTCTAAAAAGAAAGTAAAATATGTTCAATGTAGAATTTTGAATTGCATTTTTTAAGTGAAAAATACATTACGTTATTTATATACTTAATTATTACATAAATACAATTTTTATATTTTATATAATTGTGAAATCATGAACTTTGATATGAGCATTATGGCAGCTTTTAATTTTCTATAATACTAGTTATTTCTAAAAATTTGAAAATGAGAAACAAAATATATTTATAATTATAAGTACAAATCTTTTGTTTATCATAATAATTTGCATATCGATCATAAGTATTAATCTATCTGCTTTTTAGTAAGTAAAACATATGGTTTACCTATAAACATAAAATTAAACCAAAGTTAATATTTTCGGCGCGAATATTGAAATAATTCCATGATTTAATTTCGTTAATTTTATCAATTAGTTTTGATAAAACAAATATTAATACATTAAGTGAACTCATAAATTTATCCCTATACGTATGTACTTATATATGACTATTTCTAACCTATGTTTAATAAAACAAAAAAGTTTAAAATTAGAAGATGGATCGATTTTAGTAGTATTTAAATAAAATTGTAGTTAAAAAGTATTTATGTGGAGCTATATTGCTATTGCTTTGAGTGTACATTAATATTATAGGTTACGTTCATTTACACAATCATAGTTATAATTAGTAAAAAATTCTAAAAATGAAGCAACTTAATTTCTGTTCAATAACACAAAGATGTAAATATATTAAATAATACATTTTTTTATCATAAAAACTTAAATAAATATTGGTGATGAGGATAAAAGCATATCAAATTATTTTCTATAAAATGGTAGTTGACTATTATTTTACAAATATATTTGTAATTAATTTGTGCGTAATATGTACACACGCGCATACATCTAGGTATTGAAACATCATATCATAATTCAAAATTTTATTATTGAAAATTTCCAAAATACTAAAAATAATTTATAATTATGACTGCACAAGAAAAAAGCTTTTAAACAAAATATAAAGTATACGAAGCAATATATTTTCGTCAAACATTAAGAATAACTTTTCCACAGCAAAAAGACAAAATATGAAAAATAAAAAGTAAATATACCACTCTACTAATCAAAATCAATTCATATTAATATAAATGTAAATATTTATTAAACTTAAAATAATTAAATATAAATTGGTGTTCTTATCTTTCATTTGTCGTTCTTCAATGTTTTCAGAGTTTCATTTGAAAATACTTATTTAATAATTATAAAAACGTAAAATATATTTGCAAATACACTGTGATATTATATAGAATGACAGTGTATGTCAGGTTATACATTCTAGAACAACATATAATTTACCCATATCCTTTTATACGTAAATGTTTTGTAAGATTTCAACTTCCATTTTTAAATTAAGTATAAAAAAATTGGAAAATATGTACTTTTGCAATGTAACATTAGAAAATACTAGCATTCTAATATTAGAAATGATTTTAATTGTCATAATGGAATGCTCAATATTTTTCATTTTACAATAACTATAACTTTTTCAAGTTCCAAATAAGAAAATTGTTGTACGTACCATAGAACTATTAAATACACCGAGAAATATTTATATGTATTATTTATAATAACATTTTTTTAATGGTAAAAATCTTATAGTAACAAGAGGATTTTGGAACTAGAGTATGTAAAATACTTTATAGAAAATACAAATAACCGTTTTTAAAACAATATGTAACGAAAATGTATTACTGAAGTTTTACAACATATATATGTTTTAGTATTTCTAGATATGGAAATACTCATAGGAATTTTTATCTTTGTCAAATATATTAAAATATTAATGATATATCTTTTTCCAAGAAACCTGTTAAGTAAAAATAGAACATTCACCATTAATTTTCATCTTCATGTATCGATGTATTTATAACATTATTTTCATTTATTTCGATTTTAATCATATTTGCCTCATCTGTCTTTTTAAGTGTCCCCAATGTTTTGGTATTCTTTGTTTCTTCTTTCTTTAAATCCTGTTTTTTATCATTATCTTCGTCTGACGATTTTTGCACGTTGTTACTACTAGTTAATGTTTCTGACAAATGTAATACTTTTTTCTCTTCTATCGGTGCATTTTCCGAAGTATTTTCTGTATTTTCGTCTTTTCCAGTGGTTATAATAATCCCTTTCTTCCCTCGACCTCTTTTTGTAGTAGGTACTGAATCTTTATTTATTTTTTTTTGTGTTTCTTTAACAGCATCATTTTCATTAGAAGCAATATCAGCATTACGATTAACAGTTTTCCCACGCATTTTAGTAGCTTTTTTTTGAGGTACCTCCTTTTTTTTTACATTTCTTCCCTTTTTGGAAGTTTGAGTTGTTTCTGCTGTTTCTGGTTGATTATTTTGAACATCTTGACTTTCATTACTATTGGTATGTTCTGGTTCTGAAGATGACAATTCTTCTGTTTTTGAATCTTTATCATCTTTTGAAATATCTTCTGAATTAGGTTCATTTTTACGACCTCTTGTTTTCCTTGCTACTGTTACTTTTGAAGACTTATCATCATTTGATTTCTTATTTGCCTTTATAGTTGCTATGGATTCTTCTGTTTTAACATTGTTTTTAATCTCATTACTAGAAGAAATTTTAGCTTTTTTGGTACCTTTATTCGCATTTTTATCTTTTATATCAGTATTTGTATCAATTTCCTTTTTCACTGCTTTTGCTTTACTTTCTTTTGATATTGCCTCAGTATTTGCTTGCTTTTTCCTTTTTGTAACTGGTACTTCTAAATTTTCAGTACCTTCACTGGCGATTCCTTTTTTGGTTTTTCCTTTTGATTTTATCTTGGCTAAAATGAATACATACTACATATAACAGATAAATAAAGTACTTAATGTATACTTTCAATAATCATTTAAATAATTTATAAAATTATATGATAAGAATATTTATATGATATAAAATTAAGAATAAATAAATATATAATAAAATTAAACAAATTTAAATGCTTTGAATTAAGAAATTATAGTAACTCTTCAATAATTGTATATACTTATCAAACGCGTCCGAAATTTATTACCGCATAACTATCACGTTACATTAAAAGTCAAGTAAATTCTGACGTAATAAATAAACAATGCATGCTTTTGTTGATTAAAGTATAATTCGCTAAATATTTATAATAATATCAAGACTCATAGAAAAATTTCAAACACGTACATTCGTCGTCCACATCGATTCCCGCCTTTTTCGTTGCAGGTTTAGTACGTGTCTTTTTCATCTCAGTTTTCTCTGGATTTTCCACATTCTCCAAATTTACAGAACTTGTATCAGTTTTTTCTGCAGCTCCTTTATTCTTCTTTGCTGTAATCTTAACTTTTGAATTCGATTTTGCAAGCTCTGAAACATTTTTACCAAGCAACGAGGTCTTGGTTTTTGTTTTTGCGTTTTCAGTTATGACCGAAGTTAGATCTGCTGTTTCTGACTGCTCGGTTTTCGTTAATTTTGCAGCTCTTGGCAATCTAATTTGCTTCTCTTCATCGCTTTTATTCACAGTTTTAGCAACGGCTTTTTTTCTCTTCGGAGGCAATATATTGCCTGCTTCCGCAGCTCTATCTACAACCTCTGTGTCTGAATGTTTTGCAGTTTTACGGGGTGCCATTTCGTTCTATAACTTTAAGAATTATCTGAGAACAGATTTTACGCAGTTTCACTATAGCATTTCATATCACACACACATATATATATATATATATTTATATGTATATATATATACATTTATATGTAAAATAAGCTTTAAAAACAACAAACCACTCGCTACGTCGTATGATTACTTACCGGTGCCCAACGTGCATTAACGTGTCCGTTGCATTAACTGGTGTTCGTAAGCTGCATGACTAACATAGTAGCATATCGGCAGTTTCAGGTTTGGGATAGGTTTGTTAATCGACAATCGATTTTCAAATTAACGAATAGCAATGAAATATCAATGGATCAAACTTTTTACAACTATAATTTTTAAATACACGCAACTATATAATATATGACTTTGCAACTAAGTAAATAAACTTTCTTAAGACATTTTTTTACATTACTTAAGAATCGAGCCTAAGGCTCCGTAGTTTTGCACCCTTTGTAATTAATTTGAGGTTCTAGTAATCATTTACTTAATTTTTACTACAATATTAGATAATTTGAATTTTTTGTTAATGTCTTTTGTATCTACAACATTGATTACTTTTGTAAGGTACTTATGCTAACCGCGCTAAAGTTATGAGAAACCTATGAGGTATAAATTTCGGATTTATTTTACTTGCTTTGTTTATTAGTTTTTGTTAATATTTATGTCCACAACATTGAAAGTTGATGTTACGACTTAAAATATATTATAATAAATCTCTATAACATTATTATAAAGTTATTTAAAGTTTAATTAATACGCAATAGAACAGAATATCATACATCACCCTCATCTTCTTGAATGTTAAGTTATTAATTGGTTTTTTGTATACTGGTACTTCTAAATTTTCAGTACCTTCACTGGCGATTCCTTTTTTGGTTTTTCCTTTTGATTTTATCTTGGCTAAAATGAATACATACTACATATAACAGATAAATAAAGTACTTAATGTATACTTTCAATAATCATTTAAATAATTTATAAAATTATATGATAAGAATATTTATATGATATAAAATTAAGAATAAATAAATATATAATAAAATTAAACAAATTTAAATGCTTTGAATTAAGAAATTATAGTAACTCTTCAATAATTGTATATACTTATCAAACGCGTCCGAAATTTATTACCGCATAACTATCACGTTACATTAAAAGTCAAGTAAATTCTGACGTAATAAATAAACAATGCATGCTTTTGTTGATTAAAGTATAATTCGCTAAATATTTATAATAATATCAAGACTCATAGAAAAATTTCAAACACGTACATTCGTCGTCCACATCGATTCCCGCCTTTTTCGTTGCAGGTTTAGTACGTGTCTTTTTCATCTCAGTTTTCTCTGGATTTTCCACATTCTCCAAATTTACAGAACTTGTATCAGTTTTTTCTGCAGCTCCTTTATTCTTCTTTGCTGTAATCTTAACTTTTGAATTCGATTTTGCAAGCTCTGAAACATTTTTACCAAGCAACGAGGTCTTGGTTTTTGTTTTTGCGTTTTCAGTTATGACCGAAGTTAGATCTGCTGTTTCTGACTGCTCGGTTTTCGTTAATTTTGCAGCTCTTGGCAATCTAATTTGCTTCTCTTCATCGCTTTTATTCACAGTTTTAGCAACGGCTTTTTTTCTCTTCGGAGGCAATATATTGCCTGCTTCCGCAGCTCTATCTACAACCTCTGTGTCTGAATGTTTTGCAGTTTTACGGGGTGCCATTTCGTTCTATAACTTTAAGAATTATCTGAGAACAGATTTTACGCAGTTTCACTATAGCATTTCATATCACACACACATATATATATATATATATTTATATGTATATATATATACATTTATATGTAAAATAAGCTTTAAAAACAACAAACCACTCGCTACGTCGTATGATTACTTACCGGTGCCCAACGTGCATTAACGTGTCCGTTGCATTAACTGGTGTTCGTAAGCTGCATGACTAACATAGTAGCATATCGGCAGTTTCAGGTTTGGGATAGGTTTGTTAATCGACAATCGATTTTCAAATTAACGAATAGCAATGAAATATCAATGGATCAAACTTTTTACAACTATAATTTTTAAATACACGCAACTATATAATATATGACTTTGCAACTAAGTAAATAAACTTTCTTAAGACATTTTTTTACATTACTTAAGAATCGAGCCTAAGGCTCCGTAGTTTTGCACCCTTTGTAATTAATTTGAGGTTCTAGTAATCATTTACTTAATTTTTACTACAATATTAGATAATTTGAATTTTTTGTTAATGTCTTTTGTATCTACAACATTGATTACTTTTGTAAGGTACTTATGCTAACCGCGCTAAAGTTATGAGAAACCTATGAGGTATAAATTTCGGATTTATTTTACTTGCTTTGTTTATTAGTTTTTGTTAATATTTATGTCCACAACATTGAAAGTTGATGTTACGACTTAAAATATATTATAATAAATCTCTATAACATTATTATAAAGTTATTTAAAGTTTAATTAATACGCAATAGAACAGAATATCATACATCACCCTCATCTTCTTGAATGTTAAGTTATTAATTGGTTTTTTGTAGTATTTACATTTTTAGCTGTTTCGAAAATGATTATTAATTATAATAATAATTAATATAGATATATTAATTATAGAGAGAGATATATAATAATATATACTTATGTATCATTTAATAAATTATATCATAAAATTATATAGTGACTGACTGGTTGAATGAATTAAAAAACTGAACAACATAAGTATACGATTACTTTTAAATACGATTTTTTTTTAAATATTTTTTTTAAACACTTTTTATATTCGTTATTTCATTTAATTACATAATCATAAAAAATCCTTGTAATCCAATAGGAAAACAATAAAGCTTTATCTACATAATCATAAAAATAAAGGATTAAAAGACCATGTTGCAAGGTCATGTAGTATATAAAATATATCCATATAACATTTTAATTTACATTATTTTTATTTATATTTTTAAATTTATAAATATTAACATTAATTACATGTAGTTATTTTGTTTTTTAATGTAACTTCAGAAGAAATAATCGTTAAGATACTTTTCCATTTGTATTTCTTATTTTATTAAAATAATATTAAATTTTTATTTTCATCTATTTTTCACAAAATAGATAATTACATGATATCGACTAATATTTATGATTTTTTTCGTATATATTTCAATTCTTTTTATTCGAATGATATGGCATTTCTATCCTTTACTGAGTAGACGTGTGAGTATAAAGAACTTTGAAAGGTCGCTGTGTAGGTTGCATATAAACAAAATTTATAAATTATTATACATATTACTTCAAATTATGATTCCTGAAAATAAAATTAAAATTCCTTTTTTTATTATTTAAATTGTATATATTAAAATTTATATCTTAAATACATTTTCAAGGTAAATATTAGCAATATTATAACCTACAATTGGTACTGAACATTGACATTTGATAAAACAATTAATAATAAAATATGCAATTCATTGTATTAGGTTTCCTGAAATAAAAAATACAAATTATAAAAAATACATCAAATTATTGACATATTTGAAATTGTGGTTTATTTTTTACTAGGTATTACAATCTTAATATTTGACAATAAAATTATTTAACAATGAATAATACAAAAAAGATCAATGTGAATTTTTCATCTCTTGTGGGTTTAAAAGCAGAACTCTTAAAAAAACAGCATGAAGTAAATAATGCAAAATTGAAATCAGAAATAAATCACACTATACCAAGATTACAAAAAAAGAAATCCAAAAAAGTCGAAGAAGTGTCAAAAGACGAAAATCTTAGAAAATCAGAGTACATTGAGGATATTAATACCCATAAAAAATCAAAATTAATGTTAGAAGCAAAGGCAAGATTATATGAACAATTAAAAAAATCCAAAACTACTAATGAGAATTTCCTTGTTGATTTTAAAAATAAATCAGATGAATCCGAGGAAGAATCATTACCAAAAAGTGGAGAAAGTGATATAGTATTAGAAAATGAAGATGATTGGGTTGAATATGAAGATTGTTTTGGTCGTACAAGAAAATGTTTACGTGAAGATTTACCTTTGATGCAAGAAAAAGATCAATTGATAAAACAACAAATTATAAACAAGAAAGGAATTGATCCAAAAACCAAAGGTATTGTTGAACAAAGCTATGATGAAGAAGAAAAAGAGCCAGAAATAGAAATTATGAGAAGAAAATGGGAGGAACAAACACAAAAACTAGCAGATAAAGTGAATATACATTATCAAGATGTTTTATTCGATGAGGCTAGAACACATGGTGTTGGTTACTATGCTTTTTCACAAGATGAAGAAGAAAGAATGAAACAACAAGAAAATTTGTTTAACATAAGAAAGGAAACAGAGAGAAAACAGAGAGAAATAAAAGAATTAAAAGAATTGAGAGAAAAAATGGAATATAATAGATTGAAAGCAGCTAGAATTAGACAACGTATTAGGGCAGGATTGCCAATAGATCCAGTAGAGGAAGAATTCCAAGGAAAGGATAACAAGGAATCTAATCAAAATACATCAGAAAATGTACATATTATAGAAAAGAATTTGACTGAAATTAAAGAAAAAGAGAATAATACAAATCAAAATACAGAAGAAGAAAAAATATTAGAGAAAGAAAATAAAATAAAAGCTTTAGGAGAACTTCTAGGTAAAAGAACCCAATGGTATGAAATGTCTCAAGAAGAGTGGATTCATAAATGTAGAAAGATTAGAGTTACTGAATTTGGACCAGTATATGAAAACTTCAAAAGTGCCGGTTATTTAAATTTTAAAAATGCTGATGAAACATCAACAAATATTGATAATGATGAAAAATTTCATTCTTATAAAATAAATATTCAAAACAATACAGGGAATAGTAGTGAAACAAATATAGATTCTTATAATATACCACTTCCACCTAGCTTAATAAATAACTTCAATACTGAACATACTTTAACTGAAAGAATAAATCAAACTAGTCTTATGCAATCAGATCATTGGCATAATGAATCCACTAATACAATACAAAATCAGATGAAGCCAAACAGAAGTATAGATGAAGCAAGTATAGCAGCTGGTCTCAAATATTTAAGAGAAAAATTTGAAAAAAGTCAAACCACCTAAAGCATTTACAGGAGCATGTATACCATAATATGTTTTGCTGTATATACTTGTAAATATATATAATATACTATATATAAACATGGATTGTATAGTACAATAAAAGTATTTCTAATAATAAAATTTATTTATAAAAATAAATTATGTTTTGCATTTTAACAAGCTTCTTTTTGATTTTTACTACATGAAATCCTTTTATTAGATATTTCTACTTCGTTCATATCTTCCCCTGCAAATCCAGATTTCTGTGATATAGCTATATGTGATAATTTTATTTTTATAAACAATAAAAGGAAGAATAAAAATATTTAAAAAATAATACTACCTGATAGATCAATGTCTGAAATAACCATGTTACAATTAGGACACTTCATAGGATTATAAACTATAATAAATCTCTTTAAACAGTATAAGTGAAAGGAGCTTTCACAGTTACTGCACTTTTTCCCCTAATTAATAAAAATGATAATTAGTTAAAAATTACATTCATATAATTAAATAGTTCTATAATAACGTACATGAAAAATGACTTGTTTACAAAGGTAACAAACATTTAAATTGCTTCCATAAGTAGCTCTAAAATATGGCATTAATTCTGTTATGCTTCTTACACCCATATAATAATAACCATCCTATATTATAAAAAACATAATATTAATGGAATAATAGTAATTGATTATATCAAAGTTTTACTATTACTATTATTAATACCTTATAAGACAACCATTTTCTTTTAACTATATCATCAAGAAATTCTTCAGCTTCTGCTTTTGATAACTTAACATCTGGTAAAGAGCATAAATTTAAACATGTCGTGCTTTGTATGTATCCATTGTCCGATGTTATAATTTCAGAAAATATAGCTCTTAACAAAGCCAGTTGACCTTTTGAAAATTCAGTTTGAAATCTATACAATAGCAAAAAATTTGATAAATGTCATATAAACATTTTTATAGACACTGTTATCTAATAGATCATAAAAGTAATATTGACTTATTTACCAATCGATTTCTTTTAATTTAAACCATATATGTTAATTTAAAGAAAAAGAAGTTAAATAAATAAATAAATTAAAAATATTTATAAAACAATTACATAAAAAAATTTAATATTGATATCATATTAAGAACATTAAAATATATACCTGGTTATTTCATCAAGTACAGTGCTTATTAAAATCCAGTACAATTGGCCTGTAATTTCACATTGTGCTTTTTTGATTAACATGTTTAAAGGTTGTAATTGTTCATTTATTTGATTTATTATTGTCGATACTTTATCATTATCTGAAATTGACAGTTTCGTTCATCGCGCATATAAAAAGTTCATAAAATAAAATAGATGGATAAAAAATTTAAGTGAATTTGATACTAAATCAAAATTTACTTACTAAATAACTTAATAACTAAATCTTTTGCTTTATTTTCAATTAAAAGACCTTCGTTCATAAGTGCTTGTAAAAGTATTTTGTGCTGAGTACTATAAACCATGTTATACTTCTACAATAAGTATAAGTAAAATTATTAAAATGTACTTTTATTTCAAATTATTAATTTTATGACTATTAAAATACTAATATTTCCTAATCAAATTATAGTGAAACTTTTATAAATTAATGTACATATATATATATATATATATGTATGTATGAAATAACTGTAGGTACGTATAAGTTGAAAACAAATTTTCGTTAATGATTCCATATAAAGGATACTCTCTATTTATACGATCTCATAGTACTTTTGAATTCTATATTTAAAATACAACGTATTCTTAATTACTTCTTGAATTAATCACTAAATAATTGATGAATAAATACGTATAAAATTTATAAATTTATAAATTATAAAACATATTTCTCGTACAGTGTTTCTCAAATTATACGAAAAAGGTTAATCTTTTTAAAAAAAAACAATATTAAATTAACTATAGGGGATTATAAATATTCTCCACGAATTTAACCCATCTATTACAACTAATTAAAAAAGTATAAAATTATTATTCAAATTGAAACAATAACTTAATTTTTTTTAAACTAATATTAAAAATGTTTGAGAATCACGGCTGTGGCGTTTGCAATTTTACTGTATTGTCATCGATGAGTGCAGCGATATATGGTCAGTTTAAGCGCCACCGTATCATGAGAGAAAAGTAGCGGGTAAGAGATGGCGAGTTGAGGGCTAAGCATCATGATCTATCCGAATATCAATGTCTGTTTATCAGAAACGACAAAAGAAAATATCGTCATACAATAAGTGGGGTAAAAACTAGAGAGTGGAGGACTAATACGAACACATTAAAGTTATCTGCTGTATAGTACAAGCTATACCGCGAGGGCGCGAGGCCGCGACCCTGAGCCCGATACGCGGAATAGAACGTTTCGGTAGCGGAATAGTGCGCGGAACGAATACGTGTCAAACTCGGTCCACGAATAAACGTAAAGTGGAGCATCGTAGCGTATGGCTATCTACTATCGTTTGCTTGTGGAAAGGTCGAGAGTTCATGATCATTCACTGCTTTGAAACGATGATTTTATGAAGCATTTGTCGACGATATTTTTTTCTTTATTATCACTGCCGAATGATCAAAACTTACTAGTAGGCGAAACGACGAATTTTTTCTTTCTCTGTTCTGTGCATATTTAGTTGTCGAGCGCATAACCTGTCAGAATCATCATTAGAAGGTTCTGAGATTCTTGTTTAGTAAAGAATTTTGTGAATTAGTGTGTGGTAATTGTATTGTGACAATACAATCCGAAGATGCCGCTCTTCGGTAAAAAGGATTCGAACAAAAAGATAAAAAAGGATGGGAAAGATGATAGATCACCGTCTGTCGAAGACAAATACATCCTAAAGGAATTACTTGGAACGTATGTACTATATATCGATACAGACTGCGTATCTGAAAGTAATACAACTGATTGCACGTAATTTTTGTCTTTATGCCTCTTGTATTGTGGTTAAATTGCAAAAAGTTATTTATAAAGATATTGTTTAATTAATAAAAATAATAAATTCTAGCCATGCATTTTACTTTAAAGATTATTATTATTTATCACCAAAATTTATCAAAACTTGTTAAAATTATTTTCCTTTATATTATCCTTAATATTTCCTTAATATAATTAATATTCCAATTTTTTAAGCAATTTATCTTTAGTATTTAGTTTTTGTAAAAGATATTTTTATTTTAAAGAGTTTACACATTATTATCATTTATTATTATGAATTTAATTATTCATATATAGATATTTAAATTTTAAATTATCTGTATATTGATATGTTTAAATAAGTATTTAAATTCCAAAATGTATAATGAAGTAATAGTTTCACGAGTTTGTGTTAGTATTCCATATTTTCATTCAGTTAAGTACATATTAAAATTATAATAGAAATTGTTATTAAATAAATATTATAAAATTTATATATTAT